CATTTACAAGACATAGACAGTTTGCTTTAAAAAATCACTCGGAAATGAAAACTCCTAGACCTTTATTCCCTGGGTGATCAAAGACTATGAAAAACTCTGCGCGACGTGGAATTTTCGCATTCAAAGAAATATGTTTGAGAGTTTGCAGGAGCTTTGAAATCTGGTTTATTTTAACATTTACAAAATATACACAATTTGCGTTAAAAATATCACAGCTCGGAAATAAAAGCTCCTATATCTTTATACTTTGCGCTGATTCAAATACCGTAAATGGCTCTACAAGATCTGCAATTTCCACTCTTAAGGCAAACTTTTCCAAATGTTACGGAAAGTTTGAAACTTAGTTCATTTGAACATTTTTAAGACAACATACACGGTTTGCTTGAAAAAATCAAAACTTAAAAACAAAAACCCCTAGACTCTTGTTTCTTGCGCTGGTTGAAAGACCATAAAATGCTCTACAAGACATGGAATTACCGCATACTTACGAAATTTTACCGAAACTTTGAAATTTGCCTCATTTGAACACTGACAAAATATACACGATTTGCTTTAAAAAATTCTAACCCTTAAATGAAACCCCAATAACTTAATCCCTTATACTAATTGAAAGACTAAAAAAGGCTTTGCAAGACCTCGAATGTCTGTTATCAAAACAATATTTTCCAAATTTTTCCGAAAGTTTGAAACTTGGCTCATTTGAATCTTTACAACATTTACGTAATTTACTTTAAAAAATTTGCTGCCTCCCAGGCTTTTATTCCTTACGCTGAATCAAAGACCAATTACGGTTAAAATTTTCCGAATTTTATCGAATGTTTGAATCTTGTGCATTTGAACAGTTAAAACAAACGCAGACTTGCTTTAAAAAATCATCACTCTAAAATTCAAACCCCTAAGTCTTTATTCCTTTATAAGGCCTGGATTGTTCGCTTTCAAAGCAAAATTTTAAAAATTTTACAGAAATTTTGGAACGTGGCACGCAAGGTTTATTTTAATAAATCATCGGCCGAGAACGAAAATTCTTGGAAGATTACGCAATATTAACGATATTTTGAACCACCTTGTAGTTGTTTGCAATTGAAATAGGAAATTTATTTCCCAACAAATTTTGCGATTTTCTTAAGGGCAGCGCCCATTAGGGATTCGGCCAATTTTCATACTTTCCAGGATTAATAGAAAATGCCCTGAATACTTGAAGAACGATGATTTATGCGGTCCGAAAATCAGTTTTTGCGCTAAAATTGCATTATTTTGCTAGAAAATTTTGGCTTATTTGGCTAATGAATTGAAATTAGTCAATTGGTTCTGCTATGACCTTTTTGCTCATAGCCGAAGAACCATTTAAGTATTGCACAGAGCGTATTTTTGTGCCACTGAATGAAGCATGAAAAAACACATAAACGCATGAAATGTTGGCAGTTTTCCTGTAAAAAGTTAATATACAGAGCGTATTTTTCAACAGCGGTGTTGGCCAAAACTAGGCCATATTTTCACATATAACCCCACTGGAGAACTGTTGAAGCTTGCGGACTCGAGTTCACTGATCAAGCATGAAAAAACGCATTTTATCAAGTGAAATTTTATTTAGCAAATCGTATCAGTTTTCCACTCCCTTTAGTAACACCGCAGTTTGCGGTGGTAAATTCCACTCAATTCTAGTAAATCTAATGGCAAGTGTATCAATATATCCCAATAAAATTATCTGCTACTGGTTTCGCTATTGTAATCGCCACTGGAAAAAGCCTCTTTCACCATCATCGGCAATTACCTCGCACACAATAGATCCAAAACACGACACAGAACCTATTTTAACCTAGAGATACTCTATCAAAGGTAATCTGCCGACCCGAATCCAAAATAAGCCCTTATTGAACAGTTTCGAAATACATCTGAGGCAGAATAATGGAGAAGAGCCTTTACAGTTAGTTATTCATGGAATGTTGTAAGGTGATAGTTTTGCTTTTACTATTCTCTGAGCTACTGACCAGCCCACCCTAGTTGAAGAAGTTAAAACTCAAGACTTAGAGTCACCGGTAAGTGGCATTTATTGAGGTCAGGTATTATCAATTAATCTGAATTTTAAGGTGTTGCATAATAGTAATTCCTGCATATTTGTGGTGTTTATTGCAAGTGAACGGGTCTCGGAAGGAAGGGAAGTTTTGCAGAAGAAAGTAAAAGTGTTCAAAACATGACATGGAAAACCATTTTGCCATTTTACATGGAAGATTTTGCGCAGATTTTCTTTCATTTCAAAAATAAGTTAGAGTTTGAGGAAAAAAACTATTTTTCATGTTTTGCTGGTCCATTTGTTCAATAACCATCTGGCCTGTTGTTGTAAACACAAACAGATATGCCTGTAGCGATTGGAAATATCATATTTTCCAAACAAATTTGGGAAATAAATAAAAGCTATGGAAAAAAGTGCGGAATAAATCTGTAGATGAATCATTCCAAAATTTCTCACTATAAGATCAGAAAGCACTTCAATTGGGACTGAGGACAAATCGAATAGCAGCAAATTGGACAATTAAGACAAAAGACAAGGAATTTTCAAATATAAGCCATCGTGGTTTCTTCACTGGAGATAGAAAAAATCATACACAATAAGGAAAGAATGTTTGTGCCAATTGTGAAAGTTTAGCGACTTTCTAGAGAATCTTCACATACTTGCCGAAGAACAAACAGCAGTGAGGAACATGGAAGATTGGAGCACCGCACTGGGAATCTATTTTGAGACACATTTTGAAGAAAAGCAGCAAAAAACCACAAGCGACACAATACAACAAATTGATCTTGATTGGAAGATGAATGAATTTGGCCTCTAATGTTTCAGAGCGTCGTCGAGTTTCAGGCGTCGGGACGGAAATGTGCGACGCCAAACATTGAGCAAGCGTCGTGTTGAAATGCGCCGTCGCAACACTCCGGCCTGAACAATGGCGCCTTTCTCGCAACCAATCGAATTCACAGATTTACGGGACCATTCAGGCAAAAGTAACTCTGAAATCCCATGGTACGCCTCTTGATTGCATTTTACCAGTTTTTAGCACCTTCCGACTAGAAATCAGGCAGTCCAGCTGGTTAAGTGGCATTGTTTTAGTTTGCTTAAGGAACTTTTTGCGCGTCATTGAGTTTTTCGCGTGTTTCATTTGCGATCTCGCGCTAAACTGTTCGCGACGCCTTCGGCGAATTTCGAAAGAACACTCCAAAAATCGCAAAAAACATTTCTATTGTCCTCCAAGGGCGAGCCTTGATGGATTATGGGCAACATATCTGGTTAATATCTTTAGGCCTCGTAACTGAGTGCTTCAGCATCGGCCTGTGACTGTTGTGGGCGTGTCGATTTTTAAGACCCTCCCTTGTGTACCCACAGTGAAGTCACCCTTGAACAACATAGTGACATGATGCTGAAGCCAGTCTTCTGTACACTTCGTGTGGTATAACACATAGATTTCAACGGGGAAATCTTGAAACACGTGCTTGGTTGGGCCGAAAAATCAACCGAGCAAGTGGTAACGCGGCATTATCGGCAAATCAACCGGAATTGGTGTACGCCTGCGGTGTTTAATCAACTATAATTTAACCGGACCGACTAGAAACTCTTTTTGTTTGTTTTCCGGTTAATTTCATTTGCGACATCGGACTCCTAATTTCGAGCCGCAGGTTTTGCTCGATTTTTTCCAAATACCTGAACTTGAATATTGTGGGTGTATAAATCAATGTGGGATTGACCGTTAAGGTAAAATCAACTTTTTCAATAATCTCAAACACTTTATAGTCAGCCGTTGCTTTGATCGAAGCAGATATCAAACTTATCATTTATCACTCCTAATCAAAGCTTAGTGTAAAACAATGCCGAACACTAAAAAAAGTTAAGACTTTCGAGCCGATTGGTCGAAACTAGTGAGCTTTTCGGGATTTTAAGCCACGGTGGGAAACACTTTCTTTCGGACGTTTTGCCAGCACAAGCGGATTGCATTTTCATTTAGTCATTAGTAGGTACTTGCAAAAGGTCTGGGGAAGTTATTTTCCATGGCATAACAGCCCGAAGAACTCACCAGAAAAGTGATTCCAAAGTGTGTTTTTTTTACCAACTTTCTCTACCTATTTAAAAACCTGCCGTCTCAACTCGTTTCCGGAAGCTAGAAGCAAGAAGTCAAACAAATCCATCCATTCCAGAATAGGGAAAAATGTATTGACTTAATTCTTTGAAATTGCAGATTTTGAAAATGTACACGGTCTGCTTAAAAAATCATATCTTCATAACAAAAACTGCTAGCCTTTTATTATTTGAACTTGCTGGAAGACCATAAAAGACTCCAAGTTTTACCAATTTTATCGAAACTGAAACATGCCTTTTTTACATAAATACATGGTTTGCTATAAAAAATCATAACTGGAAAACAAAAACTCCTAAACCTTTATCCTTTAAGCTAATTGAAAGAGCATCAAGGGCGTTATAAGACTTGGAATTTCCGCTTTGAAAGCAAATTTTCTCAAATTTTAGAGTAGGAATATTGAATCTTGGCACATTTTGAAACAGCTGAACAGCACGCAAGGTTTCTTTTAAAAAATCGTAGCTCGAAAACGATCATTATTTGATATGAATTTGCAATTGAAATAGGAAATTGCTGGAAGGAATTGTACTAAACATTTGGAAACGTTGGTTCTTAATTCTGCGAAATTCCAGATTTTACAGGTTCTAGAAGACACGTTTTAACAACGATAACAGCGGTATTTTGTGTTGAAAGAACACATTTAAAACTCGTTTCCATTGCATACTGCAAGCAAATTCAGAATTTTTTCTCTATTGTTCTAGATATTTTTTAATGAACTAAGTGGCTCTTGAATATTTGTAATTATCTGTAAATTATTTATATTTATTTAAGAACATTCCAAGTAAATAACGAATAGAAAGTACCTAAAGAGCGAATTTTTGTGCTGCACAAATGACTCTAAAAAAGATGTCATTTTAAACTGTTTCTAAAAAGAGACTTCCCTAACTTTACTTGACTTAAGTTGCCACTAAAAAAGTTTGTTAAAGTTCCACTGATCGGTCGGTAAAATCTTACAAACAATGCTCATTTTCTGCATTTCAAAAACTGCCACTAATAACGTTTTAATGAAAAGAATGCGTTGCATCACTAAATTCGACAATAAATAAAAAAATTCAATTTATTAACAAAAATTTTTGATTATTTACGCTGATCAGTTTTTTCATTAATTTGTTCAATGCTTAAAAGTTTCGAAAAATGATTCTTTTAAGCCGTGGTGGAAAAAAGGTCGTTCGCATCTTTATATTTAATTTTTGATTTTGCGATTAAAAATTCTCACTATTTTCCTTTCGTCGCGTCATTATTTTCCGTTCGCGCTGCTTTTTTTAGTCATTTTTGTGTGTTTGTTTTTGCCTATATCAGACCATTTAAAGGCCCGAATTGAATTTAGAAAAATTACATGATGGTAAATATGCATGTTGTTGCATACCTGTGTATATTATACACTGTATAAAGGAGCGTCCGGAGCCGACAAAAACCCATTTTTTGTAGCTACAAAGTCAAAAAATTTGATTGAAAATATTAGTGAAATTTAAAATACACAGCACAAAGAATATTATTCCCTTAGCTTCCCTCCGGTTCAGTTATAACTATTTTGATCTGTTTCTGGTTCTATTATTTCCCTTTATAAATTTCATCCTCTGGCTTTGAGATTTAAGGCTTTAAGATTTTCGGCTGGATATTTTCTAATATTTTTTTATGACTATTTATATTTCCTTTGTGCCAAAAAGAGTTTATAATATGCTTTTGCTGATCTTCAGCAAAGGATTTTGCAGATTTTGCTGTTAAAAGAGTTGAACTTTCCGGCCTTTGCGTGAAACTGGTTAGTTTTTCGGGCTTTTAGTTTCGCATTTTTAGGTTTCCGGCCCCAAAAGCCTGAAATCTCATGAGTTCCAATATACTTGCTTCAGTTCTTAAGAAAATCGGTTATGGACGTCGACCAATCTTTAAATTGGTAGTGAAAAACTGGTGGCATTTGAGGCAACATGCATAAGTTGGGAGATTTCTCAGAACTCCCCGATCTCTTTTCAGAAAAAAATAAAACCTCGAACAACCTTCCAAAGTGCCTTTCAAGAGTCATTGCATTTCTTTATTTTTGACCAAATTTTCAATATCATTTCGATCCACTGAAAGAGCACCCTTGAGTTGAAAACCTCGCTGTAAAGCTGAGATAATTTGTACAAACGCCGTTATTCAAACACAACTGGTTCATTCTTTAATGGATATCCAGCGACTACTCAACGTATCCAAAAGACATTTTTGTTTGACCTTCTTGCTTTTCAAAGATTCTCACAAATTTCCTTGAAAAATTCCTTCTTCATGTGAACGTTTCTTCAGTGTTTGGCCTGTTACGATCTTCGGTAGTGATGTCAGTGACCGGTTGTGCTCAATTTCAACACCACACCCCATAGGCTAAATGGCAGAATCGAAATCGGCAAACAATCAATCACTTGTCCGGACAAAAAATACGAAATCAAGTTGAAAAAAGCTGCGTCAATCAAGGCGATATGCATGACACCTCCTTCTGACCCCGAAATGGTCATGCAGCTCCTTCTGTGTCTGTTATTGTTGTCGGTCGGACATTAACAGTTGAAAATGCGGTGATATATGAACATGAGTAGCAAGGAATTGTGACAAGCAGGATCCATTGTTCGCAACGGGCGGTCGGTTACCACTGTAACGTAATGAAGACAAATTTTCTTCGTTTTTGCTTCTTTTACGATTGCCGCCCGCTGATTATGTTTGATTGTGCCTGGACATCTGAATTAGAAACAATTGTTTGACCACGTCAAATTCTGCGCTCGCTACTATCAAGATATCAAAAACAATCGATTGTATCGCCGGTAATTGATGGTCCATTACTGCGGGCCAGCAACGCACTCGGTACCCCGTAACCAGCACCGTTACTGGACATCGATATTGTTTCTATTTTTCGATTGTTTACAGTTAATTAACCGAACCACTATATGCAAACGCGCACTGGCAGTAGCCGCAAGTTGGGACTTTGATAAGGCTTTCGACAGTGTCCAGTGTACGATTGCGGTAAGTCATAATTGAGGCCATTCAATGATACTCTAAGAGGACTAAGAAAAGGGCGATTTCACACCACGATATGAAAGTTCAACATGAATGAGGAAAGTTATTATATAAACAATTAAAACATTGAAAGAAAGAAATGACATGCTGGTGGAATATACGAAATCATAAAAACATTAGTCATGAGGAAACATTGGAACTTCTCCACTTCTGCCTCAAGTCGCTTATGGGGACCTTGACTCACCTTGTCATCTAAAAAGTACTTTTTGCTTGTTTCTCGAGGTTTCTTTGATGCGCAACTTTGATTGTCACTTTTTGAAACATTGCCAACTTTTACGCTTAGATATATATATATACTTATGCATTATTCCGCACTATTTTTTGGAATCGAAACATTTTGAATTCTCCCTCCTACTTTGAATCACCCTGTAACCGTTTTCAATTGAAGTAGGAAATTACTGAAAGGAATTTTAACAACTCTAGAACTTTGAGAATTTGGGAATAGGTATTGGATCTTTTTGCATCACTACATTCTCATTTGACTGATTTTTCTGATCATAACGTAAGAACCATTTACTTTTGGTTGATACGTTTATAGCTTATTTTTGCATCACTGGATGGAGCTTAGAAATCACATTTAGTCCATAAAATGTTGGCGGTTTCCGCTGAAAAAGCAAAATTACAGTTTTTACTTTTGAACGACGGTTTTGATTAAATTGAGCCACTTTTTCACATACCGAATCATTGGAGTAAGCGGGCTTGTTTTACAGAGCAGATAAGGTTCTATAACTGCTGACATTTTTATTTAGGAGATTAATTAATTTCTAATTTTTAGTGAAACTTAAGAAGCGGTCCCGACTGAACAAGTCTAGAACAAACACGGTATTGTAAAAAAATCCATAACTCAAAAATCAAAATTTTTATACTATTGCGAATTATATAAATTTACAGGAAGGCAAAAAGGATTCATAAATTGCTTAAATTAATTTTCGAAGCCTAATTTCTGATTTTGACCGGAACTTAGAATGTGACCTATGTGTAACATTTCCAGGACGGACACAATCTACTTTAAGAAATCGTAAGTCAAAGACATCATGCTATAGGCAATCGCTGCAACTGCTATTTTATAGACCTCTAACACACTCTATAATCTGGAAAATTTTGAGTTTAGAGCAAAAGTTTCCCAATTTTCGACGCTTTGAAACTGGGCTCATTTGATCATTTACAGAACATACTCGGTTTGCTTTAAAAAATCATAACTCAAAAACAAAAGCTCCCAAATATTTGGCGCGTACGCTGGTTGAAAGATCATAACAGCCTCCACAAGAACCGAAAATTCCGCTTTCAAAGCAAAATTTTAGTAATTTTGACGAATATTTGAAACTTGATTCATTTGAATATTGAGACAAAACATAGACGTTTTCTTTAAAAAATCACTCTAAAATAAAAACTCATAACCTTTATTGCCTGGGTGATTCAAAGAGAGAGAATAAAAAACTATGCGTGACCTGGAACTTCCCCATTCAAAGAAAAAAAATCGAGTTTTGAAATTTGGGATATTGGAACATTTACAAAATATACACGATTTGCTTTAAAAATATCACAACTCGGAAATAAAAGCTCCTAGAACTTTATACTGCACTGGTTCAAATAACGTAAAAGGCTCTACAAGATCTGCAATTGCTACTCTTAAGGCAAAATTTTCTAAATTTTACCGAAAGTTTGAAACTTAGTTCATTTGAACATTCATAAGACAACATACACGGGTTGTTTAAAAAATCACAACTCAAAATTAAAAACTCCTAGACCGTTATTTCTTGCTCTGATTGAAAAACCATAATATGCTCTACAAGACCTGGGATTACCGTATACAAAGCAAATTTGACCAAATTTTACCGAAATTCTGGAATTTGCCTCATTTGAGCATTGACAAAATATACACGATTTGCTTTAAAAAAAATCTCAACTCAAAAATACAAACCCCTAGACGTTAATCCCTTATACTAATTGAAATACTATAAAAGGCTCTACAAGACCTCGAATGTCCGTTATCAAATCAAATTTTTCCGAAAGTTTGAAACTTGGATAATTTGAACCTTTACAAAATATACGTGATTTGCTTTACAAAATTTGCATCAAGTTCATTTACGGTTCTGCCAGATCTGAAATTTCCGCGTTGAAAGCAAAATTTTCCGAAATTTTCCAAATGTTTGGAACTTGCTCTTTTGAACAGTTGAAACACGCACAGACGATTTGCTCTAAAAAGTCATCACGCGAAAATTAAAACCCCCAGGTCTTTATTCCTTAAAAGGCTTTATAAGGCCTGGAATTTTTGCTTTCCAGGCAAAATTTTAAAAATTTTACAGAAATCTTGAAACGTGGCTCATTCACGCAAGGTTTCTTTGAATAAATCATCGCTCGAGAACGAGAACTCGCATTATTTCCGATATTTTGAATCACCACCATCAGCTGATTGCAATTGAAATAGGAAATTTACTCATGACTCAAAAATAAAAGCTCCCATACATTTGGCGAGTACACGGATTGAAAAATCATAAAAGACTCTACGAGACTTGAAAAATCCGCTTCCAATACAAAATGTTCCAAATTTGTTTGATACTTGATTGATTTGAGAATTTATGCAACATATATATAATAAAAATAAAAATTTTTAAATCTTTATTTCTTGGGTGATTCAAAGACCATAAAATACTCTGTGTGACCTGGAATTTTCGCTTTCATAGAACAATTTTCCAGAGTTTGTCGATACTTTGAAATTTTGTTCATTTGAACGTTTACAAAATATACACTTGTGCTTTAAAAATAGCACAACTCGGAAATAAAAACTCGTAGAACTTTACACTTTGCGCTCGTTCAATCACCTTAAAAGGCTTTACAAGATCCCTTGCGCTAATTAAAATACTATAAAATGTTCTACAAAACTTGGAATGTCCGCTATCAATGCAAAATTTTCGAAATTTTTCAGAAAATGTGAAACTTGGCTCATTAGAACCTTTACAAAATATTGGCGATTTGCTATTAAAAATCATAACTGGAAAACAAAGACTCTCGGGCTTCTATTCATTACGCAGACCATTAACGGTTCTGTAAGACCTGAAATTTCTGCGTTGAGAAACGAGATCATAAAATTATTAGTCAACGAAAAACGAGTTTTTAACACCAGAAACGGAAACCAGCGGCAAATCTCGGATGAGCAATGACATGACAACTCAATGGAACAGAGACGAAAACACACTCAAAGAAAATAGAGAAGAATAAAAAAATCATAACAAATACCAAATAATAAAGCAGACAACTGAAACATTTAAAAAGCGGCAAGTGTTGAGAATCACAGACATAAATGGCAAAACTATCATCGATAAACAGCACCTGAAGAACAAATGCAATGCTTTTTGAAGATCAAAGACGGAATTCTGAGTTCGTTTTTTTGCAAATATCTCAGTTTCTGATAAGAATTAATGTTTTTACTACTTTTTCTCTACTTAAACAGCCCCGGAGGATTGACGCCTACTTTGAATCACCCTGTATTTGGGAACGCGTTCGATCACCAAGCCAAACAATGCAGACAATTTGGAGTTTGTCTTGTTCCGTTAACTTTACCATTTCGGAAACCGCAAAAGTTAACTGTTTAGAAATAAGGGTATCTGCGAAAACCAAAAAAAGAAAGTTTTGCAAATAGCCGATTCCAAACATAAAAAATAAACAGCCTGGTAAGATAAAGATTTAAATCGTTCATTATAGAGCGATTTTGTATTTCAGGGCTCTCAACTCGCGTGCTTCTTTTCATCTGGACGGTCAAAGCGTTGCGGGCCCTCTTTTCCCTCAAAACGAAATTCTCCTCCTCAAAGTTGTGTAACGTTACAATTTGCTAACGGTTGGAAAACCAGCTAAAAGTTCCCTAGCATAAAAGAAATACGTTATATAAATCCTCGACTTTTCAAAGTCGAGTCGCCCCCTGTACGTACATTTTCTTACTCTTTTCATGATGTTTATTTGTTGCATGGCTATGCGGGTACTTTACTCCTTTGCCTGCCTGGAAACTCGCTGGCTTTGATCTTCTTTGCCTCTCACAATTATATAAACGTACGTCATTAAGCCTAAATCATTTCAAAAACTTGACTCTTAATTATATGTCAAGTGTGTTAGTGATCTTCGCCGATTTCTATGCGACCTTTCAGTCCATTCCAACCCCCATTCGGGCTGAATCAATCGCTGGGTAAGAGCGAGCTCAACGTGGGTAGCAAATCCAATCAGGGGAAATAAATATTATAGAATTAAATTAATCAGTTTGTCTTCACATTTATCTTAATAAATCGACTAAGTATACAGTTTTTGCTTTAAGCATGTTCCGTTGATGAGGAAATGCTTCTAGAGAATCGTGAGGGAGAATGTGCTAGTATGGGTTGACTGTCATTTAAAAGCTAACTAGGGTTTTTTCAATTTCAACGACTTTTTTCTTTGCCAGACGGTTTGGTGGTTGATTCAGCTAGTCGAGTTTCATGATAATCCCGCCGATTATTTTCCTTAACTCGATAAACAACAATAAAACCGTGCATGTATTCAAAAATTTTGCATAAAATTATGCCAGATATTGAACGTGTTTTCTATTTTTTGCCTGCTAATTAGATCGTGCATCAACATATGCCGTTTCGACATTAATTGGGTTTGTTCGAGTACAGTCGCATTGGATTCGACTAACGACTCTCGCGAAATGTTTCGTATTATAAAATAAAATGAAGCGTAATTAAGCGTTTTTATAAAAATGTTATTGCATACATTAATGCGGCAGACAATGACTAATGAGGACCAATTCGTCTTCTTCATACTGATGCTGCATTAATGGCTATCGGTTAATTAGCATCAATTAATTTCCGTAGATACATTTGAATTAAATGATTAATTGTTAAATTAAATAAACTAATATTGCTCGTTCTCGCCGCGCGTATTTATTGCGCGCCTAAATTTATTGGCGATTTTTTCTTGTAATTTGACTCCAGTTAATATGTTTGTTTTATTATCGCAAATTTGATTAGTTTGTAATTAATTGGATAATAACAACATTAATTTTGATTTAAATGTGGGAGTTATTAAAGCCGGCCAAGTGGCAAACATTGTTTTTCGTCCATAATCGTCTTACAGCAACACGTTTCCTAATAAATAGTCCCACAAGTTAATCTTGTTAGGAACACGATTAGAAAGCTGTTTAAAATGCGACGACAGTCAAACGGTGAGAGGAGATTTTTCAGAATTCAATGCATTTTAAGTAGACATTTGATATCGCAGGCATTCGAGGAAGAGGTTGTTGGGATTATTGACAAAAAAAAACTTATATGAAGCTGTTGCTAATCAGGTTATTATTTGCATTTCAGGCTTTTTTAAAAGCTCAATCTGGGAGCCACTTCCGGACCCGTCCCGACTCCGGGCGGGTTTTCACCAGTCATTTCCGCCGCAAAAACGATTTCCCTAAGGGAATCATCCTGCGCCGAGAGCCTGTGGAAGATGCCACACAAAGGTAATTAAATGCATTCGAATTGTTCAAAATCCAATTATTTATCTACATATATGATGATGATTCAAAATTGATGTTTTTCGGTTGATTTTGTATGTTTGGCAAAAAAGGAAAATTTGATTTATTAAATAATGTCGAAACTCCAGAAAACTTTCCGCAAGATCAAGCTTGTTTGTCAATGAAAATTGATGTTGTATAAGGAATTGCGCAGTTCTAAAATAAAAATTGTGTAAGTTTCTATCGAATTCGCAGATTAATTGGCAAAATGTCTCATTTCTCCTATTTGCCTCGTAAGTTGACCTGTTACTTTTGCCGTTTAATGAAAATAGTAAGTAAGACAAACGTTCCTTACGGGTGCGATCAAAAATATTGTTGCCGAATTTCCGACTGAGTTTTTCGCAAATATCTCGTTTTTTTTTGCGAGAGTAAATGCTTCAAACTAGTTTTCCCCCGAGAACACTTCCAGAGGAACAACATCAACTTCAATTTACAATCAGCCTGTTTGAGAAGACGAAAGTGAAAACTCCATAATGAATGGCGTTTCGTTGCTTTACAACAACTTCCACATCATCAGATTATTGTTATTATTATTATGCTCGTTTAAACATTTTGTGCTTTGACGAATCTTTCGTTATAGTTCAACCATCCATTGAGCGTGTAGTTTAGATGCAAAAAATCACAGTCACGCAGTGTTAAATCCGGGAACCAATTTGGTCATGAGGTTTTACCTGCGTTCCTTTAACGGCCTTTGGGTTATTTTAAGATTTGTGTCGATCCATAGTTTCAGTCCCAATCCAAACCAGCGTCAACAAGCTGCACTTTAATGTACAGTTGCTTGACTTGAGCCTGGTTCCTGTGGGAAGAATGGTATCGATGGGATAATCACACATATTGTCTTCCTTGCAGAGCGAAAGCGCCCGCTGATTTATCAAGTTGGAACGTTTGTCCTTTTGAGTGGTTAACCGGCTTAATCGCACCCCCAATTATTGTATAGACCCGCGCTCTTTAATCAGACAGCAGTTAACTCAAGTTTTTCCCATTCACCCTTGCCAGTAATGATCCAGTTAATACACAGGGCACGGCATCTCGATCGACTGCTGCGGTTTGCGATCAAGAGCCGTTTCCCGCTTCTAAAAAGCAGGAAAATTACTCAATTAATTGCGTTTTCTAAAGGAGGTTTGTGGTCAGGGCATTTGTATGCCGTTTCAACCAGCCGTTTTATTTGTTCATTATTTTTATAAATGGCAGAGTGGCCTGGAATCGGAATCAACCATCTGGGATTGATTCGCTTTTAATATCTGCAGGAAAAACTAAGCCGTTTCAACTTCAAGGATGGAGAAGTGATTGGACTCAATGTGTGTGGATTTATAATTGGTTTGGTTAACAAGTTTTAACAAAATTTCCAATTATGACTCAATATTCATGTAAACAATGAAAAAATGATGTTGTGAAGTGGCGTCGAGCAGTCCAGTGATAAAAATCCAGTGTGCAATTCTGCAATGACGAAACTGTCAGTCATTTTGAGCTGTTTAGAGCGCTTGATTCCCACAGTTATTTTCTTGATACTTTTGGGTATCAAAAATCCAAAGCAACGTAGTAGATTTTAAGTAGAAAATCCTTAGTTGTAGTTGCAATGAATAGTCGAAACTTCGAGCAATCTAAGGCATTTCCATAATAATCCGGTCCTTAGCGGGAGCCATTGCGAAAATGCATGTAGCCAGTTTAAAGAGGATTTTCGAGGATTTGGTAAAAGCTAACATTTAGGTGCGTTATAATCCTAAATGCATTAGGGAAAATGGAAGTTGCAGGCGCGCATTAGGGCCATTTAGCCCTGGCCAAATTGTTAGCTTGTTGCCGCCCATTTTGGCTCAATTTCCACCCACCATGTCAATTTAAATGTTTTTCATTCCATCCGTTTGACATACAAATGTTTTCGAACCGGAATCCGTTTAGTTCAAATGCGAGAGCTGATTTGCTTTATCTTCATCGGATTGCCGGCAGCTCGAAACCAAACTTGTGAAAATAGCGTTTCTTTGTTGACTCGGTAACCGGAGGTTGGCGCAACCCGCGCTCCAAATTGCATTAACCTTAACATTACATGGAGAATTGAGAACGTAGCCAGACGTGAAAGCTCTGAAAGACCTCTTTAAGTGCGATATGGTGGCGGCTCGTTCCAAATTAATGGATTAATTCCAACAAATCAGGCTGCTTTCCATCGAAAGTTTGTGATGACATTGCTAAACTATTTTCCTTGGTTAGTTTATGGAAGAATTTTCGGACGCTTTTCAAACATTTTCATTGGCATGCCTTAACAATTGTACCAAAAGTAAATTGGTCATTGAGAAAAACACGTAAAAGTACAGAAAGTGTTTTATTTTGTTTAATAACACAGAAAATGCGCCGCCAATTTAACGCGTAACTTAAATATTCATTTAACATTTTCTCTATTTTCTTTATCTCTCTATTGTTCGCCAAAATTCAAGTAATAAGATAAGCAAGAAAACAGAAGTAAACAAATCGTAGAGACCGAGTCAATAGATTCCTTTGTCAAAGTTTAAGGGCAGCGAGGAGAGCGCAGACAGAAAAAAGTATATATATATATATATATAAGCCTTACAGCCTCATTTCTGAGTAATTCGGATCTTTAATCGTCTGTTTGTCTTCAGCCATTCGAGAGATTTTTTTATGACCTGAGCATTACAAATTACTGAGAAGAGAGGACGTAATAACATCGAATATTTTTTTGGCTGCACACAAATTTAAAGATTGATCAAGAAATTACTTAAAAGTTAAGGACTTTTAAGCTTAAAAACGCACGCCTAAATTAAAACCAAGGAAACATTCTCTCGCAATTGGGCAAAGCTACATATTTTGCAGATTTGTTTCGATAATTAATTAACAAACTTAACATATTTTGATACCTTTTGATAAAATTAGTGAAACATCAAGAGAACATTTCAAAATTAAATTTACTAGTTAATTTCCCTTTCAGCTTTAGTCTTAAGTGTGTAGTAGGAGCTTCCATAGAATTCCTTATTTCAACCAAAAAGCTCATTAACACCTTATAAAGGTCTGTAGTAAAACCAGTTTTTCAATTAAATCTACATTTGTTTAACTAAGTTTTAGTGTGTTTCAGCAAATGTTTGCAAATTTCCCATGAACAGGCCTGCTTTTCGCCCCGATTTAACCCCCCGGGACTTTTTTCACATCGGTTTATTAAAGTAAACTTGATGCAAATCCAATTAGCAATAAGAGGGTAGAGTTAAGCCAAACCTGGTGAACTAAGAATTGTTTAAAAATCTTGAAAAAGTCTCGTGTTTTCCAGAGGAAGACCTAATGCACCATTCCATGGGCCAGAATACCATATTCGGGTGTTCGACTGCTGGCCACAGCGGTATCAATCAATTGGGCGGCGTCTACGTGAATGGTCGCCCACTGCCCGACTCTACAAGACAGAAAATCGTTGAACTCGCCCATTCCGGAGCGCGTCCGTGTGATATTTCCCGCATCCTCCAAGTGTCGAATGGATGCGTGTCAAAGATACTGGGAAGGTAAGAAACTCATTTTACTTACCGCTTCCATTGGTTTCGCTTAGAATGATTGGCCGATCGACATACGAGCAAGCGTTATTCGGCGAATGCTGTTGACTTAATTGGTCTGATAAAGCTTTGCTGGTCGCAGGTACTACGAAACGGGTTCCATCAAGCCACGAGCCATCGGCGGATCAAAACCACGAGTGGCCACGCAGCCGGTGGTTCAGAAGATTGCTGAGTTCAAGCGGGAGTGTCCGTCGATTTTTGCGTGGGAGATCAGGGATCGGTTGCTCAGCGAAGGTGTCTGCAATAACGACAACATTCCCAGTGTAAGTAGAAGAGAACTTTGTAAATGTTTCGTTTGTTGTCAGTCACAAGGAGGAATTTATGAAGAACACTTTTAAAGCAAAATTCGCTTGCTTAGTTTTTAAGGTTTTTAAATAATTGTCAGTACTCTTTTACCATTTTCTTGCTTGGGACGTGCAAACAGTGTAAACACGTATTTAGTATTGTTGGTCGCTTATTCGGGTTTTCTTCCAAAAGATGCTACAAATTGAATGCACCCCGTGGCAAAATCGCGAATTCGCTTGAGGCTTTCGTCGTGGTCAAGAGTGAGAAGCCCCTATCGGAAATATCTGGCCTTGTTGCGCTTTCCTCATTTACGAGGGCAGGTCCTAATTAACTTCGAATCGCATTGAGCTAACAGCATGTAAAAAACTTTTTCATAACCCAGTTGTATATGACACACATTTGTATTAAAACTCGATCAATTTTTTGCAGTCTACTCAATGAAAATCGGGTTGTTTTAATGTAGAAAATTGCGTTGACGATTAAAATTGTGCTGCATGGCTTGACAGTTATTGAGCCACTTTTCGACCGTTTTCTAGCCGTCTGAAACAACAAATATTTACAAAACAAGAAGCGAGTAAATCGGAGCGTCGCAAAAATCTTTGGGGAGCAGGACGGTTGCTACGGCAACCAGTGAAGCAGGAAAAGGGCGAGAACGGCGGAATGTTTGGGATCATAAAAATAAGCGGGGATTAGAGAAAATTGTAGATTTTACGTGCCTGAATCGGCTCGGGCAGCAGGGATTTTTCAAAATCATCATCGTTGTAAACTGTCTCTCACTGATTAACAGTAGGGAAAAAACGTTAGATTTTTTGCAGTGTTCGAATACGAAAATGACAATTGATACATTCGGGCTGCTCTGTGACGAGAACAATTTATTTTGGGCAAATTGTACTCTAAATGGCAAATGATATTTTCACATGAATCCCTTTTAAAATTCATATTCAATAATTAATCTTGTTCACCCTCCAACGAATGGCGATGATGGGAAAATTTCACGCATGCGTGCGTTCACTCATCGATATAAAGTGCGATACGCATTGCGTGCCGATACGCTGACTCTAGTCGAAAATTTCCCCATCGGATAAAATCCTGCAAGGAATTGTACCGAATTTTGTACAATTTGCTCAAAAGCTTGCACTAAAAAAATCGTTCCACATTTTTAGCTCTTTGGCCGCTCAAAGTGGGATTTTTGCTTTCGTTCCCTTAAATTATTGAAGTAATGCCAGATTTGATTTTTGAAGCCGTTTCTTCATTTCTTAGTAAACTTAACCATTTAAATCGAATGCTAAATGAGTTGGTTTTAGTTCCCATGATTTCCACTTTTTCCGTAAAAATTGCTGCTTTTTTTGCGATTAGGCCTGGGTAACACTGTGTTGAGTTGCGCTATTGAATTGTTGCCGCTCTCTGACTTAACGAATTATAACTCATCGGTTAATGAGTTTTAATTCATTTGTTAAAGTTTTACGAGACCCGAGACTGGAACTTTCACATCTAAAAACGGGTTATTAACATTTTTTCTGAGTAACGTTTTACTACTTTGTTCAAACAACTAACAAAATCTAATCTAGATTTGGCCAGCAACAGAACTRAGTGCAAAGAAAGTCGACGAAAAAAAATTATTGTAAAATCGATCTCTTAATTTTTTTTCATRAAAGATTCAGTTTGGCAGTATTTTACAGTAAAACGTTAGGAAAAACGYGGTTTTTCTGTTTAGAGACAGTGTTGTTTAGAAATCTTGACCTAAAATTGAAGAACCTCCAGTTTCCAAGAGTTTTCCAAATAAATGATTATAAACTTTCCCTTTTTCAGTTCGGGGAAATATTTTTGGAAGACCCAGAATTAATTATTAGGGTTTTGTCCATAATACGAAGCGGTTAAGGAGGCGAGTTGCCAATAAAATTTATCTTATAATTTTTCACAGAAAATATCAGAAGAGTGTCAGTACTTTAACTAAAAAATAATGCGACTTTTGCGTAGAAAGAATTGATTAATAGAAACTTTAGAAATCTTCAGAGCGATGAGGGCGGCGAATTTTCCCAATAATTTTTTGTAAACTCTTGCTCTCTGGTCGTTTTTTTAAGACAGTTCTAATTACTTTCGGTAAAAAACTGAATAAAATTATTTGGTTTTTGTGTCAAATTCGAAGCTGAAAATGGTTTTCTAAAGTTCCCTGCAAACCGATGAATCGGGCGAATTTTCTAGCAAAATTAATCATAGTAATTTTTGACTGAAAATATCCTATTATTGTGACAAAAGAAGACAATGATCAGAAAATAATGCTTTTAGCGTTTTCGATTAAAAACTTTTAGTTTTGTAATAAGTAGAAAGGAAAAAAACGGTGAGAATTTATTTTCATTTTTGTCCCAAATTCGACACTGAAAAAAATATATAAATAATCTTTATTTCCTATAGAAAAAGGAGATCGACACAATAGGTCTTTCTGCCCACTGAAAAATGTTTTTGTAAATTTTTTTAAAGCTATAAATTTATATTGTAATTTTTCGCGGAAAGCCCTCCAGATCGTCAGTATTTTTAAGTGAAACTCTACAAAATCGATCGTTTTTGAGTAGAAAGTAAAGGAAAAAAAAATCAGTCAAAACTAAAAAACCACATTTTTTAACAATTTGTAGAGTCTTCAGAGAAATAGAGGTAACGAGATTTTCAAATAATCTGTTATAAACTTTCGCTTATTCTGTTTGATTTTTGTTCCAAATTGGAAGCGGGAAAGGGATTTCAAAACTTTTTACCAAGCGACGAAGGATTCGAAATTTATTTCATAATTTTTCGCGAAAAATACGTTGAGATTGTCAGCATTTTTAAGTGAAACTTTAGAAAATTGAGCATTTAGAAGAAAGAGTGACTTGGCTGAAACTGAAAAGTTCTGAAATTTGAAGACATCTCTATAGTATTATTAATAAATAGTCTTCCAATAAATCTAAAACAGTTTTAAAAAGTCATCAACATTTTCCCAGCAACGGAACTGAGTTTCTGCGCCGGTGCGTTGGGTTGGCGCACTAAGCCATTTGCGCAGCACTGCGCCAACCCCTAAAAATTCACTCACCCAGGTCTATTTGCGATCGAATGATACGCAAATTAGTTTTTTTTACATCGCCAACAGTCAATAGAACGGAGTTGTGGATACAGTTAGAAGAATCGGCATTTTTGACTTTACCTGCAGAAACTGTCCAAAAGCGCGATATTAGAAAATTTCCAGCGCAACTTCCTTATTTTCTAGCGGATTGAGACGCAAAAAACACTGCTCCACAGTGAACCGTTTCGAATAGCAATAAAACATATTGACAAGCTACACATTTGCTGAAATAAAAAATAAATTCCGACCAACCACCGGGCTGGAAAGGCAATTGAATGGTAAAATTTTAATACTGAAGTGAGGAAAATCGGTTGGGAGAGCCCGGAGACATTGAGCAAAAAAAGTGGAAAATTTTCCAGCAAAACTTTCTTACTCACCAGCCGGTTAAGACGCAAAACACACTGTTTAACAGCGGATTGAAAGCCTTTTCAAATGACTGCTGAACAGTATTTTCTGCTGCAGTGAGTTTAGGTTTGAAACTAAAAATCTTGCAATTTTTCAATCTGCCGAAGGAAACTCAGCCAAGATAGTGTCGTCAATCAGTAGTTGATTTTATTGCCGTGTTCTCATTAATAAAGTAAAATATCTACATCGCATTCAAATGCAAATTAAACCTATTCTAATGGACACTGTTTCAGCTAAAAGTGCGGTCCTATCAGGTCTTTTTGGTCTTTCCTTTTTGGTATAGATAGAATGGTAAAAAATGGGGGTTTTAATGCGCCAAAAAATCCCTAGAATTACAGCCTTTTCTATCTTTTCATTTTGTCAATTGAAATCTTTGATGCAAATGCAGTCAATCGCCTGTGACCAAAGTCACCAAATGAACCTCTTTACTGTGTATAATGTACATAAATAAGTACAACCCTTGAGTAGATGTCCCGGGCACGTAAAAATCCTTAGGTTTTCTGTCTTCGGGGATTAAGCAGAGGGATGTGCAGACAAATGAATAATAAAATGGCGGCCGATAAAGGGCCATGATTGGGCCGTTGGACCGGCGTTTGTTTTTATTACAAAAGGGCGGGATGCATCAAGTTATTATCAAGTAAATTGGGCGCCAGGTGACGGCCGACATGAACGCATTGTATTCTGTGGTATTATTTAGGGTTTTTGATTAAAGGGATGGGCTTTAGTCGGATTCATGCATGAATATCCCGACTGTATAACTAGTTCCTCTATTATGTGCAGGAAAATAATAATAAAAAAAACGTTGCCGATCCATTTAAAAGGGTAATTCAGGGGGCAATTTTCACATTGATAAACTAAGGGTTGATGTGGCAACTGTTTAAAAAATACTCCTGGAATATGCTAATTTCTTGCCTACTTCTTCTTTTGGTGGTGTTGCTCAATTTGCATTGATTTATTTTTATTAGTTATTTGCTTCACTTCGTTTTCTGACTGGCTTTAAGAGTTTAGTTTTCATTAAAGGAAATCTTCTTTTTTAACTGAAAAACGGGGATTGGGCAAGTCCGATCCTCAACCTAAACATAAATAATTGAGTCGAGGGCAAAAGATGGTGGAAACAGTTGAGAGTGGGCCCATGATAGGTCAAACAATTGAAGCTCAGTCGAATGTGAACAGGAAATGCCAATGTAAGGAGGAAAATGCCTGTAAATGGGACCGTTTCGTCGCTACTTCGATGACCAGACGTTCTGAACGGATGTTCGGGAAAAAATCGGAAAAGTTATTTTATATTTTCTTTGTTGGCAGCCGTCGGAGATGGAGTTTTCGATAGATATTGCCGTGTTTCCGCCTGTTCTTCAATCCCCCTTTTGTTCGCATCTTTATCGGAAGATTATTAGAGAAATTCGACTTAAGATTATTTGCAACTGGCTTTGTTCGAAGCATTCAATATGAGCCCATTGGTAAACTCCTCAAATCCGAATAAGTGCCAGGTGGGAAATCATCAATAGATCTGAGATAAATTATTATTTGCAATGTTCGAATCGATCTGATTTTGCAGAATAAAGACACCACTTATGGCAGTGTGGTGTGGTATGTTTTATGAAAGGAATTTCGACGTAAGAAGCTCGAAAATCTGCTTAAAGTGCTTGCAACAACTAGTAGACAAATATCATCAGTTAAAGATCGTGAAAGTTCAAAAAGTTCTAAAATGATCGAAAATGTGGATTATTTCGGATCTTAATCTTCCAGTGTGTTATCATGTGAGATAAAAAAATATTGAAAAATCGACCTCCAACCCTAGGAAAATTTGGAAAAAAAAATCAGAATTTCACATGCGTGTTTTTTGAGCCAAATAGGTTCATTTGGATGTAAAATCTCGAAAATATGCATTAGTGTTTGAATCTACAATATGGAAAATATCGTCATCGCCAAAGCCCAAAAAGTGTCTAAAATATTCGAAATTTGTTCGATTCTTCGCCTCTTTGAGATGAGCCCAAATGATTGAAAATTAAATTGCGATGAAAATTCATGCTGTTTGCGTGTTTTTTGAGCTCAATCGATTGCTTTCGATCAAAGAAACTCTTCCTTGAGCAGATTGGAAGTGTTTGGATCTACAATAGGAAAAATATGTAAGATCGCGAATGTACCAAAATTGCCTAAAATTAAAAACGTCGATTATTTCGGATCTGAACCTTCCAGTGTGTTTATCCATTGTTTCGCTGGATTCCTCGCTTCCTCGAGATGAAAAAAGAGGGCTACTCGAAGCATTTAGAGACAAAAAAATTATGAAAAAATCGAACCCCACCCTTAGGAAAATTTGGGTAAAAATTGAAAATTGCGAGTTTGTTGAACTCAATGGATTGCTGTCGATCTAAGAAACTCTTCTTTGAGCAAATTGGAAGTGTTTGCGTCTACAATAGGGAAAATATAATCAATTAAAGMTCGCGAATGTACCAAAACTGTCTAAAATTAATAAAAAATGTCGATTATTTGTATGAATGATGCCTTCGTTCGATTCCTCGCTTTCTTGATGGAACATTATTTTTGAAAAAATCCTTGGAAAAATTGCGATGACAATTTATAAGAAACTCTTCTATGAACAAGTAAAGTGTTTGGGTCTACAATAGGGAAAATATCGTCCTTATTCACAATAACAATATTTGCAACTGGCTTCTTTGGAACTTCGAAGCATTTAATATCAGCGCAAGAATGGCAAATCCCTCAAATCCCAAGAGGTACCAGGTGAGAGACCATCAATAGATCTGCGGTAAATTATTATCTGCAATGTTCGAATCGACCCCATTTTGCCGAATAAAGACACCACTTATGGCATTAGAGTGGTGTGGTATCTTTTATGAAGGGAATTAGGTGGATACCGGAAGCTCAGGGGGCTTGATGGTAGTAAATTTTCGTTAATACATTCGTTCCCATCAACCTATTGGTAACAGTCAAAATCTGCCCCTTCAGACGTCGCGTTGGGTAATTAAGATGGATGAATTATGGATAGATTTCCCTCATAGAAAAACAAAAAAAAACTGTTTATCGGGATTTCTTTGTCTATTGCGGTTCTTTGCAACATCAGAGCTGACTTAATATTTAATTGAGTTTTGAGGGTTTGGTACATAGAAACCAGTTGAAAATTCTTGCAAAAGGAAATTTTGAGGCAAAAAATTAAAATATTCGAGAAAAATTGCAAGAAACAAGAAATATAATTAATATCTATGTATGTATAAGATGTTTCCGAATCCAGCAGCTCTTGAGCGCAAATAATCCCGCCAGTCGCGACTACCCCGAAGGAACAAGCTCATATCTAAAACTAATTTAATTTTGCTTACCTTCTGCGACATCTGGCTCTAAACATACATTAAGTTGTGCCGAAAGCGAGGAACGTTCGCCCAGAATTGAAAAGTAAACAGACCCCTATAATTCGCTGATCTTAAACAAGATCTCTTTAGAGTAAGATGAGTGTTTATGTAACATGTCGTATGTCAACGTTGAGCAAACTCTATTAGCGCGACAATGTGTTACCTGTGTTTGCAGGCAAAAGCAACATGCTCCGTTCGGATGCAGGTACCTTTAACAGTCCCACAAAGCCATCAGTATTTGGGGTCGGTTGCATGAGGGGACTTGGTCAAAATGATACTTCAGACGATAATAGTCTATTTTCACAACGTATTTCGACAAATGTCCCTGTCGACACTTTAAACGGATTTATGTGAGTCGTCGAGTAGTTCTATAAAGGCACTTTTCAAGCAAAAATTGCATTCGCCGTGTCAAAGGGACCGATGAAAGGAAGCTGCTGCCGTCGCGCAGATTGAAAAAATTGGCCCGGTTTCCAAAAGATTGTATTATTCGGGAATGTTTTTGTCAAGCGACTCGAAGAAAGGATGATTAATTGGATCTGTTTGCCAGTCAAATAGACATGTCAAAAGAATGTTAAATACACTGTCGTCTATTGTTCGGTTATAATAACTACAAATCTTTATGATTTGTATATGCCTGCCATACGATTTATCGCCCAAAGTTCTCAATATCGAGTGTTGGAGAATGCACGGAATTCTATAATGAGCTCGCTCCGTACCGGGTGTCAATTTGAAAACTTCCCATCCTTAATATCTTTCTTGCAGTTGAAAATATGAAAAATCCGAAAGACACGTCGATTTTATTTGTGAGGGGGACACTTTAAATGAACATGTCTAGCCTCCTTGTTTCAAGTAACTAGAACGGGTATATGTCACCCTTAGAATTTTAAATGCGAAAGGGGTTCACGTGGCACATCGTTTTAAAGGGTGTTCAATTCTCTTTACATTTGTTATTACTTTTGTTGCTTCTTGTCCAGAGGTTTCCGAATAATCGCGTTTCAAATTTGTGGAAACAATTAAACTTGCGTGCATTCAGATATTGGGTTTCAGGTTAGTGTTTATGTTACACACTGTATGAGTAAAACCGGCAGTATATAAAATTACTAGTCCGTATATAAGCGGACTGAAGACTTCAGTCCATATGTGTAACAAACTTGTCCTTCAATAAAGGGACTAGTCGGCTTGTAAAAGGCCTAGACTGTTTCCAACTTCGACTAGTCCATATGTAAACGGACGAAACCCCGGTTAATAAACTGTATGCAGTTTTAGCTTGGCATTTATTTTGGTTTTAGCTTGAAGTACCCTTAATATTAGGTCTAAGGAAAGAGTGGGTTGTTCAAAAATTTCGCTGAAAAGCACTTCAAATCGATTAAAATTCCGGGACATTCATAGGTAGACTGTAAAGGCCTGGCAGCCACAGGAAATAAGGCGCAAAAAAATTAGAAATCGAATGCACACTGGGAATTTTTTTATGAACACGGTGTTCTTAAAACAATTAAATAAATAATTATAGGAAAACAAACAAACGATATAAACCGAACGAATTAAAACCAACATTAAAAAGGCAAATTGATCTACCACCTGATTAATGAAATACGGCAAATTCTGAAAAACATACATATGTGATCTCTGCAAACTGATCATCAGGTACCCCTTAACTAAACCCCGGCTGTTCTTGGCAACCTATATTGTTCGCTCATACAGTTGTTAGTAAAACCTATATTTTTAAATTTGAGCTTATATTATTAAAGATTACATCTTATTTACTTTTGCTTTCATAATTTTATATCCGAAGTATATCGTATTTAGCGTCGCCCTTAACAAAGAGCACTCTTTTTTAAACTCTTTTAAGTACAATTTTTGCAAAACAATTTGTAACAATTGAAAATGTAAACATCACAAACGGTCTGGATAGCTATAGTCCGTATATAAACGGTCTAGTCTGTATATGAAATGACATGTCCCTTTACATACGGCCTGAGTCTATATACTGTCTGTAACATTTACACAAAAACAATTGTATTGGGTCTACTTGGAATACAAACGATTAGGAGAGTAGGTTACTCTGTTAAAATCGTCCAATATCAGGAAGAAAATCTAGTTTAATCTAGATTAAATATCTAGATCTCTAATTTAATAATCTAGTTTTTCCTTTAATTTCTTATTTTTGAGTTTGATCTTATTTCTTATTTATTGATAATTTTACATCGGCAAAAATAACTTTTTATTTGCGAAGATAAATTTATACAATAAAACCTATGTCACCTACTTACGCATCATCTGATAAGTTGTTCAAAATGTTGTCTATTTTCCTGTAAATAATAATCAGGTCTGTCTTCGAACTCTTCTCTAACATTTCGGAAATGTTCAGCGGGAATTGACCGGCATTCTGCTGCAATTCCCCTTTTAAGATCATTAATATTCAGCAGGTTGTGTTTTATAAACAATGGACTTGAGATGTCCCCAACGAAAAAAGGCTAAGGGTGTTCAATCCGGTGATCTTGGAGGCCATTCAATTGCTTCCCTTTTGCCAATCGATCTATCCGGGAATATCTTATCAATGTTGGGAAAGATTCGAAAATTGACTTTATTATTGTTTACAGGAAAATAGACAACATTTTGAACAACTTATAAGATAGTGAATGAATGAAGATATTGAATTATTTGAACTAGTTTTTCTTCCTGTTATTTAACGATTTAAACGGTGTAACCGAACCTTCTAATCATTTGTACTATGACATAATTTTTGACCCAATGACATAATTTTTGTTTGAACACTAATCTGAAAACCAGAATCTCAATGCAGGCAAGTTTAATTATTTTTGTAATTCTGAAACGCGATTAATCGAAAACCTCTGGACAAAAAGCAACAAACTAATAACTAATGTAAAGAGAATTGAACGCCCTTTAAAACGATGTGCTACTTGACCTCGAACTAGGGGGTTGAAACAAAGAGGCTAAAAATATTAATTAAATTAAAGTGTCCGCCTTACAAATAAAATTGACATGTCTTTCGGATTTTTCATATTTTCAACTGCGAGAAAGATATTAAGGGTGTGGTATATACACACCCGGTATATGGAGAACTGGTAAGGGTATAGGGGTGGGAAAAATTGACTGCTGACAGCTGACCTGAAATGTTTTTCAGAATTATGTTTTTAAGTGTTTAACATTTCCGGTTAAATTAGTAGCTTTTTTACTAGTACTTAGGTACTCCATATATCGTTAGAGAAAGCTCATTATGGACTTGCACGTATAAGGAGAAAGTTATCGGCGGTTAAAGATAGAAGGGCTGCCAAAAATGCGTTTAAATGATTGATTATTTCGGATCTGAAGATGATTTTCGATTTCGGAGACCGAACCACATTCGGGCAATTTTTGATATTTGGGTTGTACATCGGTAAACCGGCTAAAACGTGCGTCTCTGTTCTTAAACATTCTGAACTCCCAACCCTACGCAGATTTAAAACTGAATTTTTGGACATGTAGAGCAGAACGCTTGATTCAGTGACTGAAAATGTTTGAAATTTGATTTTAAACCAGTAAACTGTTCGTAACGTGCGCGCCTATGTTGAAAAAGTTCCTAATTCCTAAAAGCGAGCGAATTTAGTACTAGGATTTGGCTGTTTTTACTACAGGCTTCACTAAATCATATTCACTAAATTGGTGTGCAAAAATTCAATCGATTTGCAAATTTTTGAAGTTGGGCTGTTTAACAATAAACCGGCTAAAACCTGCGCCTCTGTTATTAAAAATTCAGGACTCTCAACCCAGAGCTCCTTCAAGGATGAATATTTGCACATCTAGAAGAGAAGACTTAGGTGTTAAGTGCCAAAAGTTTTAGAAGTGTTCCTTGTTTCCATCAGTTCCTGAATGTTTTCGAAATCGGGTTGTAATTCAGTAAACGGTTTTAAGTGCTCGCGCCCGTGTTTAAAAAATTATAACTCTGAAGCCCGATTCAATTTAGGAGTAGGTACATTTTGTTAATTTTTAGAAGCAGACCCACGGAATACATATGCAAAATCTGAATCGATATATCCTTTTGATTCACTTTAAAATTTGAATTTTTTGAAATTGTACTGTGTTTGAGTAAAATCCGCAAAAAGTGCGCCACTTTGTTTAAAAACGCAGAACTCTTAAGCCAGTTCATGTTTAAGCACAAGCCTTAGTTGTTAAGTCTGCAAAGTTTCAAATAGATTCTCTCTCATTCAGTTCTTGTTCAATTTTTGAAATTAGGTTGTAATCCAGTAAAGGGTGTGGGACGCGCGCGCCTATCATTAAAAAATTCATAACTTTTAAGGCCGATCTGGAAGAAGCGTTAGTGAATAAGTGCGATAAATTCCCATCAATTCGTCGCTCTCATTCAATTCGTGGATATTGCTTCAAGTAAATTTTTCAATTATTTTCTCCCGTTGCTTTCCTCGCTTACTTGCCATGAGCAAATTGAATCGTTTGAGGAATTTGCAGTCAGATGAGTTTGTTTGAAAGAATATTGCAACTTTTTTCGCCAAAAAATCAACAAATTGATTGTTTGCGACCTTATGGTGCGTCCAGACCTGGCGAGACGAGCCTGAGTCGAGCCAAAATTCGTTTGGGGTTTCGTCGAAACACGGACAGACAATCTATTTTCTGTGGGTGTTTTGAAGAAACATCAAGGGAATTTCGGCGCGACTAAAACTCGGCACGGGCTCGGCTTGTTAGGCCTGGACACACCATTCCCCTCAATATGCAAATGCAAAGCGTTTGAAAATAAAAGAGATATCGCCGGTTTCAGATTCAGACCATACAAAACCGCCCTAAACGTACATCCACAGTCTTTTACTCATATCTCGAGAAATCTTTTGAGCTAGAAAGCTCATTTTTACCCCATCCCATAGATAACTGAGAAGCTGATTGGCCAGGTCATCAGCTGGATCACCACTTCTGGCAATTTCCGCATAATCATTTTCCAGAACACATTTTCTTACGCAGATTTAGCAAAACCTGCATATACATAGTGTTCCAGGTTTTATGTGACAGCAAATATTCGGGTTGTCGTAAAAAATTATTAGATTTGATTGCTGCATTGATGATGCATAATACAGGTTAAATTTATATTTACTAATTGATAAGTTACTTTTGATTCGCTTGGAACAATTGTTGCAAGTGTGTCTATTTCTATATTTAAAAGTTCAGCATTATTACACTGGGTTTCAAACAACCTCAGAAAAAATATCTAACAGCGATTGCCAAAGTTAAAAATATTAATTTTTGTGTCTTAGCAATTGGGACTTCAAGTATCCCCGTCAACTCGTTATTGAGACTGATAAAAATCCGCATAATTAAAATTTTGCAACTCTTGTTCACAGTCGAGGAAAAAGAACCTGTTCATGTGCTCGCAGCAAAAATGTATCCTCATTTTTCGAAATTGAAATAAATTGCTGTCACACTGTAAAATTGTCTTGCTTTTAGGCCGACGCTATTTTGTGTTAAAATGAACAAAAGCGTCTGAAGAGACGTTCCAATTTGCCAATCATTAAATTTCTAATCCCCAATCCGAAGCAATACAATGTCATCATGCACACTAGCACAGTGACTATTCGGTGTATTAAACGGTGTAAAATTACAGCATTCCCGTATTAGCTCCTGTTTAAGGGCACTTGTAGGACTTTTGATGGGCCCAGCTTTATTTGCGACAGAGTTCAATTAATGCAGAGCCGGATTTTCACAAAGAAAACTTTCAAATTGTTGCTGCAATTAACCAGAATCAGAGTGAAAAGACCGAAATCGTTTTGCTCACTGTTTATAAATTATTCATCGGTTTTAGCAAAGCGACTACAGAATCTGATCAAATATTCAAAATGATTAAAAACCATGTTATTAGCATTATCAGGGCCTTTGTCCCTTGCGGCCGGAAAGAAAATAGCCCGCGTCTACCTAAGAGGAAATCATAGTGGTTTTATAAATTGGACAATTTAGTGCACAATAATTCGGCTAGGGCTTACGGGAAATTTCTTTCGGGTTCATTTTGAAATTCGCATTATTATCGAACTATCCCGCAGGGCTTTTTAGGCTTCGGGGCCCGGCTATTTCACATATGACCGCACCCGAATTGTGACACACGCTTAACTGATCTCATTCAAAGAGCTACCCCTGTTTTTTATACGGGGGCTTCCCGACGCAATCTACTATCGAAGTTGCTTATGCCTGTCCTATCACAGTTTCCAGGATTCCTACACCTAGTTCATAAAACCCCTTGCTGAAGCGTTTTCCTTGTGAACATCGTCAAGTTGCTGGTTGGAAAGGTTTGGCTTCCTCTTGGCCGGCCCTGGTAAATGGAAATGATGCAAAAGCCAACTCCAGTGGCTGGCAAATCCATTCGATTTATCAGTTTTCCCGATCTCCGGCTGTCAGGAGCAGAATGCTCAACAACCCGATGACATGTGTGGCTATAACAGTACCGCATGCTCTACATACATTTACATTAATTTAATTAGCTATTGTGGAACGTTTGAAATGCTGCTGATTTTTCCATTGTTCGGCGTTCAGTGATTAAAAAAACTCAATTGCACTTCACATCAATTGCTCGTTCACATCAAATCCAAAATGGATAATAGGTAAACTAGAACACTTTGAATCCATAAGAATCCTAGTCAGATTCTTTTGCGTCAATTGTTTATGTTCATTTAATTTTCGCATTAAATAATAAGTATAAATTTAGGCCTGCAGAGCGTGATGAAGACAATCCCATTGTCAACCTAACAAAGTTAGGCACAAAATGAATCATGCTAATTTAAATGAGCTCATGCGATAAAAAGGATCGGGAATATTTTGTAGGCGAATGCGTGTTGCTGACATGCAGTGACGAGGTGTTTTACTTCCACTTGATTTAACGGGAAGAATAAAGGCGTAATAGCACCCATTCATCGGGGATAGGGATAAGCTAGTTATGTTTTGCGTCGGATTGCATCTGGCTTCGCTTTTGTCCCTGCCCTGGATGTTCCCACAACGCCCCACCGACACTGGTGCTGTTTGGTTAAAAGTCGAATTTTCCAAACTAATAGAACACATTTTTTTCCAGGTTTCATCAATCAATCGCGTTCTTCGGAATTTGGCGAGCCAAAAGGAGCAGCAGGCTTCCGCTCAGAACGAGTCCGTTTACGACAAATTGCGGATGTTTAATGGACAGGCGCCAGGATGGGCTTGGTATCCCGGTACCCCAACTGCTCCCCATCTTGGACTTCATCCAGCTCCTACTTTAACAGCACAAATCACCAGGGAGGAGATTCAGAAACGAGGTAGGAATCATTTAGCGAAAAAGACCAGAATTCATAACGGAACAAATTATTTGGGTTAATATTTCCTAATTATTTATGCGGCAGTTTATTGCGAAAACCAAACACTTTTCGGGATTTTCTTAGCAATCTCATAAATGAAAATATTTGATGCACCCCGTAGCAAAACGGCGAATTGCCTTGGTGGTCTCACCATGGTGAAGAGTGAGAAGCACATATCGGAAATATCTGGCCTTGTTGCCCTTTCCCAATTTACGAGGGCGGATTGCTAAATGCGCCTGACAATCCGAATGGACTATTGCAAGTATGAACTGAACAGAGAGCACATGTTAATTTGTCGTAAATATCGCACTAATTTTTTTAAAAATCAGCAATAATGCTATGAATCATGTCAAACTGGGCTTTGCACATTAAAATTACTTACAACTGGGAACTTTTTTGGCTTTTTCTGGCGAATCAAGTAGATTTCTTTATAGTCTGGTGGTTTATGATTTAAAAAATTTTAGTTGCAAATATTTCTACAAATGCAAAGTGTTTGCGATGCATGCAAATACCACAAGCTGGCGAGTCAAATTTTTGTGAGCAAAGTTTTGGCCATCCCGAACTTAAAAGTGGTGGCGGTATTCGAAAATGAAATTGGAAAATATTTCACTAAATTTTCAAATTTTTTATTCGGCAGTTGATTGTAAAAATCAAACAGTTTTCGGGTTCTTCGTTCAGCGTTCAGAAAAAAGTCGTTGCTACAGATTGAATGCACCTCGTAACACAACAGTGAATTATCTTCGAGTTCTCGCCGTTACGCGGGCCGATTGCTAAGTGCTACAGCCTTTTTCGATCGTTTTATTTAGGCCCGTATGTGTAAACGATACTCAAGCTAAAACAAAACTTTTTTAAATTAATGAAATTTTTTTTTAATTATCTGTTATTTTAGATAAACTGATGATGGTGGAAAAATACACCGAAACGTATTTTAATTGATAAATAGAGACAATAAATGACTGAAACCCAGGAATTAATTTTGATTTGGAATAAAGGTGGTATCATGAAAAATTACAATTTTGCTTCTATATATCGAGGAAGAAAACATGCATTTTTATTGCTCTGCCTTAAGAAAATACTTTGCATTCAGTTACTTGAATGAAGAATAATGATTTATTTATCAAGAACCTTAAGAGTTAATTTTTCCTAATTTTGAATTGTCTTTATTTTGCTATACAACCACTTTTCAACTATAATTAATGTATGTAATCAACTGTTGTTCCCCGATAAGCTTTTAGAGTAACCATTCATGAAATACGTAAAGGAAAATTGAAATATTTTGCCGACTGTCGCAAAGTCAAAAATAGGAAATATTAATAAAAGATGCAGCTTTTATACAATTCCTCACAAAGTAATATAAGCTAAAAATTTCAAGAACCTGAAATTATGCAAAGTCCTGAATAGAGATTTAGCCGGCAGAAAATAAAAACAACGAGCGGCATTCCCCATCGCTGTTGGGGACGTGGGGAACTGGGTGGGCGGGGGAGGAAGGGGGGCAACTCGGAGGGAAACCAGGGGGGAAAGGATCAGAAGATGAAATAAAACAAGGAGAATGAAATAGCGAGGGTGGATACAAAATAGGGTGGAGTTTACAGAAGCGGAAGTAAATGGGGACGCGCAGAACAGGGTGGGAAATATATAGAGATGCCAACTTCTCTGGTTCTGACTGCTTGCTTGCCGGTCCTTCACATGACGCACATGTTACTGCCTTGTTTTCCACCAATTCGGTGATTTTTCTAATAAAACTCGTCATATTGTCTGCGAAATGTGGTCGCACGTTTTCGTGTGAAATGAACATTTTGTCCGGATTGAATATGGCCGTTTTATATTTATAACTCGCCTTAACACATGCAAATGTCGAAAGTGCATTCTGCAAATGGATTCTTCATTGAGTTAAAAGGTGGTTTATCATTAAAAAAATAGAAGTAATAAAAGACTCAAAAGTGAACACGATTAGTATTGAAAAGTTACCGTCGTCGTCGATAGAAGTTTGGTCTCGTTGTTTTTCCCGTAGAAATTCCTATCGACGACGGTCTAATAACTCGAAAATCGATTATTCAATCAAAGATTGCTAAAGCATTGAGCAGTTCATAAAGAGACGATTTAGATTTTTACAAACAAAGGTTTTAATTGAATATATTTGGTGTGTATAACCGTCGAAATGTGGCTTATAGGCCCGCCTCTCACCACGCCGGTTAGGCGATTCCGCCTAGTATGAGGCTGCTATTGCATCGGCCGTGGATTTTTCGCTTCGTCTATTTCGTGTTTCAATATTTACTTTGACTAATTTTGCAAAGCAATCACTTAAAAATTTTAAACTTTCTCTAGCATCCCCATAAACAAACTGATTTATGATAAAAGCTCTGTTAATTCACTGCCAACATTTTACTTATAATAATCAGCCAAATGTATCAACCGGAACATAATGCGCTTTGATAATGATTTCATATATTAATGAGCTTCCATCGGGGTAATTCGAGTTTGGAAGTGCGGGTGCAGTTTAAAATGTCATTACCAGCCAAACAAATTGAAAAGCCTTTTGTTTGCACTTTGAAATTATGTATGAATGAGACCGAAAGTATAGTCCAAAGTTAATTTAAAACTGTTTGCACTATTGAAAGCTGCGTGCCTATTTGCTTAATGCAATTTTATGCAAACGTTTGGATTGGGGCTTTGTATATTTTCGCATTATATTCCATCACTTTTCGGTAACTGGTTAAATGATTTTTGAATTAATCCGGAACAACAAGATGTTCTGTATTAAGTGAATTGATTTCTAAAACTCGAAAAACTCACAGAAGACCGCTGGATGCCTGAATTATTTCAAACAATGTTCTTCAGTGAACCTTCTTAGGTAAATACTTTCAGTAAAATCTTGAAGTTCTGTTGAGATTTTTGAAAAAATTAAAAAAACCCTGCATTGAACATTGCAAACTCAATCATGGAATGGGTAACGTTGTAACTATTTCGAGGAAATTTACCATCAACACAATTACCAGTTTAGATTGGGCATCGCAGATCCACTCTTGCGGAAGTTATGCTCATTTCGAAACAGCGCTCCCAATATGAGCGGAATCATTTTATTCCTCGCTTTTACGTTCGATTTTTTATAACGCGTTTTATTTTTGCAAGCCGCCCCGTTTTGCCCTATTTCGAATGTAAAATTCCGCAGAATTGGATTTTTAAATAAAATTGGATCCCCCCCCGAATATGTGAACGAATAAAAAACTGCCGTTTTTGTTTGTTTTGCGAGCGCCGAAATGGAAATCGTGGAAAATTTGCGCACAAACTAATTTCAAAACGTGCAACTATACTAACAAGTTTGGATTGTTCCAGAAGTAATCCATGAGAACACTTCGGACGGCAACTCTGAACACAACTCGTCGGGGGACGAAGACTCGCAACTTCGGTTAAGGCTTAAAAGGAAGCTGCAAAGGAACCGAACCTCGTTTACAAATGAGCAGATCGACAGTCTGGAAAAAGGTACTTATTGCCCAAACTTGTGCAAGGTTCTTTGGATTTTAATTGGGGTTTTTAGTGAATTTTCTATGTTCTCTTCCAGAATTCGAGCGCACCCATTATCCAGACGTTTTCGCGAGGGAACGGCTAGCCGAGAAAATTGGATTGCCTGAGGCACGTATCCAGGTAACAATTTTTTTCCAAATAAGTAGGAAAAAGCATACAGTTTTCCAGCCGACAATTTTTCCAATCTGGAATCTAAAAACCACTTTAAACAGAAACTCGAGTCAATGGGGGAACTTGAACTGATTAAAATTTTCTTTAATTGAACCTGTTTGTTGTTTTGGTGACGATTATCGAGTTTGTCATCCAACGAGTTTGATCACTAAACACACAACACAACTTAAAAATCACTAAAAAGTAAAATCGTGCATTATATTGAAGGTGAGTCGTCCCGAAAACTCAAGGAGCTCCAGAAAATTAAATTTTTAATTATTTCTTAAGCTCTGATAATTTTTGCGAACCTACCATATCGATCATTTTCGCCAATTGATTAAGTTTTTTTAATAATTTTCGTTCTTCTTTTACTTCACTATGGGCTTACATAAATTAGAAAAATTAGTCACACAAATAAAGAAAATCCAGTAAATAAACAAGACAAATAGGAAACTAAGGCAATAAATTTGACCAATCGCTCATATTGTCCTCACAATATTGCGAGTGTCATCGCACCCCATTCCATAAATAAATGAGAGTGATTTACATGGGCTAAAAGAGGGCAAAGGGCAAACAGCAGCCCCGCAATAAATAACTTCTATTAAGGACCTAAAACCCTAAAAAAGGAAAACCTACCTTAAGTGCCTCCTAGTTGTTCGAATTGATAATTGTTTCTAACGTTTCCCATGCTCTTGAAATGGCATCCGTAATAGAACAAATTTACATTAAAACGGTATTTATTTTTCCTGAAAGGGCACGCTAGAGAAGCTTTCAGCAGATGAAAAGTCATGTTTGCAATTTTGAGTAGAGCGGCGTTAACTCTTCCGTTCGTTGCCATGTTACTTATCTAAATTAGAACGTTTTCTATGCCTGGATTTTCACTCAAATAACGTTCGCCTGTTCCTTTAATGTAAAATGTTCAGGCTCAAAAAGACGGGCGTTTTAACATATTGAGACTTGGTTTGGAGTTTTTTAGATAAAATAGTTCAGGGGAAAAATTTTTTTTCAACCAGAAACGAATGGAAAGTTGCCGTACTTATTTATAGGATTAGGAATTAGTAACGGGTGTATAAATGTTCAAAAAACCACTTTTAGTGCATTTATTTAGTCAAGATTTTTTGGCGTGGTTGGCCTTCAAAGATGATCTTTTTAGACAGTTTTTTGTTAGGAAGTGTGAAGAACATAGAATCTCAAATACATGTTACCATAATGGGCACCTGAGAGTTTTCCTTTTATAGTAATTTGATGCAATTTTGGATGGAAAATTGTTACATTTTCTCCAATAACTCGAGAGCCAAAGGCGATTTTGCGGTGTGGATTTCACAATTTAAAGCTGTGCAAGGGTCTGTAAAAATATTTCGCAAGAAAAAACTGCTGCCTCAATTTCAACTTTTTTCGGCTACACCCCTTATAAGTTTTCTCACTTTTTCGTTAATTTTTCATTATTCAAAACTGGTATTTTCATTAGTCTTTTGCTACTCAAAAAATCAAATTGTCGTTACATAGAATAACCTGGCTATGCGATTTATTGCTTTCTTTATACTCACAATGGCAATTGATGATGAGCTTGATGCAAAACTTGTATTAGTTTTTTCTATAACTGAAGAACGAACGACGTCTGTAAAAAACGGTTTACAATTTTTGGTTTTCTAAAATCCCAAATTATATTTATTGCTGCACAAAGCACGAAAAACCCCAGCCGCTATCAAAGAAAAACTTGCCAAAAACTAAACGATTGAAAGAGCGCCAACGAAACAGAATGGAAAGAAGCAAAAGAAGAGTCGCATAAGGAACTAGTCAAGGAATAATATCAAGAGACCAAAAAATATTGTTTTAAGAAATTAAGATTATTTACAAAAGCTGCCACCAACAGGAGCCAACAACAATGAAGAGAAGTTCCAAAAAGCTTACAAAAGACATAAGCAGAACAATGAACGGACTCGAATGAAGCGAATTATTAAGAGAGACATTAATATAAAGAAACCACATAGTTTTGTTCTGATTTTTGAAGAAACTCTTGTTGCTCTGGAAATTGTTTAAACATTCGCTTTTCGAAGTGAAAATATTTTAAAAAGACTCTTCATCCAGGCCAAGATTTAAGTGTTCTGGCAAAACCCTCAATTCTCAGGTCGGAAAACTCCGCACTTTCCCACATAAAGAACAACGTTGTTCTGTTTACTCCAGAGCTCTTTGTCCGGAGGTTGAAATTATGCGCAAAAAAATTGAATAAACCCCCAGCCTAGTGGCACCCCAATGCAGGCCAGCCCCATAATAGGGATATTGCACACGAGCTAAAAGTAAATATAAACGCATCAATTTGTTGGGCATTCAATATGGTGTTTAACTACTTGAAGTCGGGGCCTGTTTGCTTGCAGGGCGGATGCTGATCTTTCATATCATAACCGTCATGCCTTGTGCAAATAAAAACATTATTAATGCGGCTGGTGAGGGTCTAATAAAGCCCTTAATTGCCGGCTTGGAGTGTTTGGGTGATGGGATTAATTGGAAAGTTTCTGTTCCAGGTGTGGTTTAGTAATCGGCGAGCGAAATGGCGTCGGGAGGAAAAGTTGCGCAACCAAAGAAGGGCGGTTGATCAAGTTGGTACCGTCAGCCCTCCAGTGCCGACCAGCCGATTGTCGATTAATCCCGGATTTAATTCCATGTATTCTTCCATACCACAACCGATTGCTACGATGGCCGACACCTACAGGTATGGATTTTTTTAAGGCAAAAAAAACCACTTAATCCCTTAACGGTTTCAACCATCGGTAGTAAATCCGCTTGCCACGTCGGACAGATCGGGTATACCAAACCAAGATCAGAGAAAATAAATGCAACAGCAGGAGGCCTGATGCCTTTAAATACTTCTTGTCACTTCATAATTCCCCATCTCCGCTACCGTTTGTATTTATCCATTCGTTTTTTTCACTGACAGGATGACATGAGATGGGATACACGGTTTTCTTAATTAGATTTTTTGGAATGCGTGTGGATTTACATAATCTACAAGGTGATGGATCAGATCGTGTGCTGGGCTGCGTTTCTTCTGCTCATTTGATTGCAGTGGTACTACGAAAAATGCTTGAACTATTATCAAATGAAAACAAGTATTTGCTTCAGAAGGAAGATCGGTGCATTTCGGTCAAACTGTAATCTCTCTCCACATCTTTACCAGATATTTTTGAGATTTAAATAAAACACTGATTCGAAAATCGGAGTCGAGAACCAATTTCCCCTACCCACATTTTTCCTAAGCTCTAAAGAGCTGAAAGCAAAACTTTCAACACTTTCGGGCTCTTGGAGTTCAAAACACCCTGTATATCAGCAAGTATCTCAAGAACTGTCGTTTGCGGATTTTTATCAAAATTCCTAACCTCTAAAGACAAGAGGAGAGGAGCATTTATTTAAAAAAATCCTTGCGGGAAAATCATCAGAAAAGAAAAATCATTAAAAACATACCTACAACAGAGAAATACATTAGTGCTGAACAAAGCAAGGCCGATACCAAGACTTGCATGATCTTGTTTTAGCACAAGAAGCTTGGTCTTGTTCTTGCTTTTTTTGCAAGACCAAGACCAGACTTCCTCACCACTAAGGGAAATAAGCAACTTCTTCAACTTCCACCGGTAAAACCTTCAAGCCCTTGAATCCAACTCTTCAGGATTAACCGTCACTTGTTTCTTTATCTTTGTTCTGTTGGGCAAATCCATCAACTTCCTTCTTGTAATTCCATTTATCAAACAACTATTTGAGTGTTCTTTGCGTGTTTTGCGCATATTTGAAATATTTCCACGATGGCTGGGCATTTTTCCATTGAAATATTCATTCCCAAGACGACAATCACGCAACGATTCCTTGCCGGCCAAAAGGGGCCGAAGCGCAATCTGCTGATAACAGTTACCTTAGCCGGTAAATCCTATTATTATTTTATTGGGAGTCACGAGAGGTGAGTTGAGCTGAGGACTTTATCGTTCAGTCTCTACACTGGTAGGTTGGCGTGGAAGGGCGAAATAAGCCATTAACCATTAAATAACCAGCAGATAAATATAAGAAAATCAGGTAGCAATTAGAGTGATTGAAAAAGTGAATGATTTTTCTTGTTTTTTTTCAGCCCGATGGCCGGCGGTTTGACCTCCAGCTGTTTGCAACAAAGAGAAGCCACAGGCTACCCCTATATGTTTCACGACCCCCTGCATTCCTTGAGTTCTTCGTATAACTCGAGGGGGGCGGCCTGTAACCCGGCAGTGGCTCATACTCAGCCAAGCAGTCATCCCTCGTATGGTTCAGCAGGAGCGACTGGCACCCCGGTTTCGACTGGCACTGGTAAGTTCATCCTCAGTTTTAGTCAAATACGTTCATATTTGTTTGAGACCAACATTGGATAAAGGTTGTTACGAAGTAGGACCGATCGAATTTACAGGGTGATGAAAAAACTGGCGTCACTCGTTTGGGCGTGTTGAGGGAGAACAGGAAAAGTAGTAAAAAAAATAAAGTCGTGTTACAAAGTGAAATATTTGCAAAAAACTTGATCAGAAATTCGGCAACAATGTTTTTCAAGGCAATCTGCCTAATTACAATTACGTTAATACCTGTGGCTTCGTAGGTAACACGGGCAAGAACAGGCACGTCTACAGACTTTAAAGCAAAAATCTGTTCGCTCTGTATCTCCGAAACGATTGGAAGGAATCGTTGATTTTGTAACCACTGCTCGAGACGGGAATATGTGGCGTTTTCACTTGGCCAAAGTTGACAAATTTGCTGGTACAAGTTTTTTCCCATGAAAAATGAATACCATGTAAACATCTAACTTTAGATACTTTGACTTGAAAAGTTTAAGCATTTTGTCAACAACTGCAAAACACACTAAACTTTCTCAAATCATTAGTCGCCTTTTAGCACTTTGATGTAACGCAATTTGTGTACAGTTCTTGAAATATCACATTAAATAAAGTTAAGACAATTGGCTAAAGAAGTTCGATTTCGAAAATTGTGCTGATAACGTTTTCTGGCATAAAACTGGCAATCGCCGTTCTAATTCATCTTTATGAAAAATCCGCTGGCTCCGGCAGGGAATCCATAAATCAAACATTGAAACATTTCCATGAAATCGATTTATCTTCCTCGCTAAGCCACCGCGATTGTGAATCCACGAACGTAAATTTTATTCTCCACGATCAGTTTAAAGTGTCGGAGAAGGGTGGTTTCCAATTCTCGGCTCGACGAACGCTCAATAATGTGCGAACTAAAGCGGGGGTGGAGACGACCGTTGTTTCGGTTGCAAGCTTCGTTTGATGCCTTCTCTCTCGAGAGTTTACCCCCAGCGCGGTGAAAGTGCATAAAGCTTATGCGCCGTTGAGCTTTCGGCTTTCCACAAAATTGACATATTCTATGCACTAATAGATTGGAAATTTGTTGCAGGCGTCATATCGGCCGGAGTCTCCGTTCCAGTTCAAATCCCTTCGCAGAGCGCTGACATCTCGTCGAATTTGGCTTCAAACTACTGGCCGCGGATTCAGTGATCTCAACTCTTTGGGTTTCCCACTGCGACGAGTCTACTCATGCATCAGGAAACCCAAGTGGCAGGACTTCATCATCCCACTCCGATGGCGTCGCCTCCACCCAGTGGCGTCTCGCCTCCCAACCATGAAAGCTCCTAAGAAATCGCGATTTAGCCCTAGAAACGAGGTGAGCTAGTGGATACACATTGACATGATTGCACTTTCAAGTACAGAGACAACGTGACAGTTTTAAGTGCTAATTTACCGAGAAAAAACACCCAGTTTGCAGGGTTAGTTTGGGAGTCCGTTTTGCAAAGGGGTACAAAGCATCAAATCTACATGTTTTAGATGCAGCGCATTATTATTAATTAGGAGAAATTTGAAAATTGAACAGTCGAAGTCATTGGGGGCAAGCGATCTAAAATATTTTCTAGATGCCACACTTCCGGTTATACTGGAAGTAAGTATCAACTTGCTTATGTTAAATGGAACACCCTATATATTATTACTTTTTAAATTCTACTACAAATTCTAAATATATTTTATGGATAACAAACATCCTATACCTAAGACCGTTTTTGATACATTTGAAATTTTATGTAAAAAATGACAGCAGGCACTCGAATAATTATTCATTTTTCCTATAAGGGAATTTGTCATACTTAATTTGGTATTTTCCATTAAATTTATATTCCATTAAATACTTTAATGGAATATCGACAACATTTTGAAAACTATTAATACAAAGTGTTAAAAATAAGTTTTAAAATACAGCGGTAAAAACCGCCCAAAATCAATTTTTTCTAATGACAACCCACATTTTTGATAATTTTGTCGCATTCAGTATTAAAAATAAGTGCAAGTTTGTGTAAGGTTGTTTCCAAAAGCGTTTAGTTTTCGAAATATTGCCAATTTAATGTTTTCAATGGCTATTTTGCAGCACCTTCTTTTAAATCCTGTCACTCTTAGTTGCCATGACGAAAGCGGCCATTTTTAATACAACAAAATGCCAAAGGAATGCTGACAGCTGTCAGTTACCTTTTAAAAATAATTAATAATCATGCCAGGGCGCTTCAATTATACAAACCAAGATTATTTAAACTTATTCATTATTTATAAAGAATGTGATAAAACTGTATCAAGAACATGTGACACATTTGCCATTCGATATCCATAAAAACAGAAGCCTTCAAGCTGTGCTGTTAAATAAATTATAGAAAATTTCAAAAATTTGATATTTTGGATGAGTCTAAATAACAGTGCATGTTCAATTTATAAGGGCAAGCAGAAAAAAATAGAGACTGTTAGATTTAAAAAAAAAACGGCTTTTGTTCTTGATATAATAATAATAATTAATACTACATAAACTTGATCACATTCTCCATAAATAATAAATAAGTATAAATACTATTCGTTTGTATAATTTGACAGCTGTCAGCATTCTTTTAGCATTTGATTGTATTAAAAATGGCCACTTGCGTCATGGCAACTAAGAGTGGCAGGATTTAAAATGAGATGGGGGCAAAATATATAAAAACCATATAAAAACATTAAATTGACATTTCGAAAATTAAACAATTTTGGAATAGACAAATTTACACAAACTTACCCTTATTTTTAATACTGAATAAGATAAAATATAATCAAAAACGAGGGTGTCTATTTGGAAAAATTGATTTACGGCGATTTTATCAACATCATTTTGAAACTTATTTTTTAACACTTTGTATTAATGGTTTTTATTTTGTCGAAATTCCATTAAAGTAACTCTTTTTCAACAATAAATGCGACTCAAATTACATAGCACCGATTTCCTTATGGTAAAAATGAATAATTATTCGAGTGGCTGCAACTGTCATTTTTTGCATAAAATTTCAAATATATCAAAAACAGTTAGACTTGGGTATATGATATTATACATGAAATATATTTACAATCTCGAGGAGAATTCAGAAATATAATAATATATAGGGTGTTCCATTTAAAATAAGCAAGTTGATAACTAAGTGTTGTCACACACTTCCAAGTGTCACACTGTTCAATTTTCAAGTTTCTCCTAAGTATAGTTTGCCAGATATCGATCGCGGCGCTTCCCGGTGGGACACCCTGTATATTCTGGTGTTTTCCATATCTAACCATGAGTAGAAGGTTGGAAGAAAGTTTTGCTGAGGATTTCCTCAAATAATTCCTGCGGAGGTTTCACATACTTTGTGAGATACAAATCTGATTATTCTCCACACTATCAAGCAAATCAAAGAATTTCAGAAGAAATCGATTCCATTAGATTTTGCTTTTTCTATAGAATTTTCAGCAACAAATGCGCAATTTCGCACACACTAACGTCAACTTTCTAACTTTAAGGAAATATTAATTTTGCCACACTGTGCACAGGGGGTCCCAACAATAGAATAAAGTCGGTTTACGCTTAGCCGGTATTGGTTTCAAAATTCTCATCAAAAGTACTCAATCGTTGGGACACCCTGTGCACAACGGAACCAAAAGTAAATCTAGGACAAGAAAAATGCTGCTAATAATATTTGTTCAAAAGAAATAAATCGCCATTAAATCATACATGATGTTTAAACAAAATCACGTCAATAATCCAAAGTTTTAACATAAGAAATTGCGAAATTTGTGACACTCTTTAAATGTTAGGTTTCTTTATTAAATTGCAATCTATTCGGCTTTTTATAGGTACTCAAGGTATCAGCACGGGTGACGCAAAAAAGTCTTCCACTCTGAGTGAAGATATGGAAAACACAAAAATATACACAGAGTGAGTCAGTTTTTATTTAGAAAACTGGCATTCGATGGAGCACCTTATTTTCCGAAGTTACAAAGTGATTTTTAGTTACAGGCTGTCCAAGTTTTAGATTTTTTATGGACTTTCATAGACCAATTTTCTCGAATTTTTGTAAGCCTTTAATCAAATGTTTCCTACACTACTTAAAGTCGTCCTCAGCTTTCCCAAATTGTAAAAAATCTTGTACACCCTGTATGTTTACATTTTGGTGAAACTTTTCTAGGTAATCTGGGCTAGACATTTTTAAAGACTTCCCACAAAAACTATACGTGAGGCAACCTAAAACCTTGACACCCTGTATCTCAAAAACAAACAAAAAATGACAAACGCAACTTAAACTGACATCTCCTGTCGAAGCCAGGGTTTTACATTGGCTCACCCTGTAATGTAACTAATCCTGTAAAAAACTGGGAAAAAACTTGAAAAACCTGAACTGTTTTCAACTAGAAAACAAATGGAAAACCATGCACCAACCACACAGGTATTTGTACTAAAAGTACACAGTACAAATAAGCTGTATATAAAAGATACCTAAAAATAAATTTTCTAAATATGCAGGGTATACGAAACTTGTAAAATTCTTCTGTATATTGTCGTGTAAAAAGTATATATGTTGAATGAACAAATCCAAAGATAAGTATTTGTAAAAAAAGTAAGTGTTTCAATTTTATATAAGCGACTAATCATAATGTAAAGCAATTAAGAAGCAATGTATGATACTTTGGTAGGTTTACCACCTACAGTCTGATTGCAATAATAACACGAAAGGCCACCAATAATTTATTCTGTAAATAGCTGTGTAATGTGTGTTTAATCGGCCCATGTGTACCAGTATTGGGAAAGATAACGAGAATCATACATTATAAAAGTGTTTTTGGCAACAACCATTCATTATTTGCCGTACCCCAACTAGGAATAACGTAGTTAACAAATAGTCGTTTATAGAGTTGAATTCAGAAGTGTACAATAACCGTCCAACTGAAAATGCCCCAATAAATGCCCAAAGATTGAGGGTGTTTATTGGAAAGTGTAAAAAACATTAATCCGCAATGAAATGAATCAATTGAGTCTGCTCAATCCCATCTTCCACCGATACCGGTACCGGATCTGGATTCGGAAGTTTCACATTAAAAACGCACCCTGTATAGTTATATACGCGCATAGAGTGTAAATCGTAAATGTTGGTAAGTTATTGTTGCTGTGATTAATTTTAGTGAAAAAATGTATTATTGAAATAATGCACTAAATGTAGCACATATTTCCGTGTAGACGTGTAAAATTAGTTTGTGGAATAAATTAGTAAACATAGAAGACTTGGTGGTTATTTCTTACTCTTCAATAAAACTTCGAACAGATAAAAACCATCGAAATATATTTCTAGTCTGACACAAAAACGTTGAGAACGTTAAAAGCCTATTCTAACTATACACAGCCTCAAAATACGCAGGTGGCATCTCTTGACTTGGCTCTATTAGGGGTGTATTTTCATCCACACGCGCCCTAGCTCTATCAGCTCTACGAGGGGGAAATGGGGGTCTGCCCATCGACGACCTCGTTTGGACGTAGACTCCAATGCAAAAAATCAGCACCCATAACCCCGTTTGGCAGATATCTAAAGATTTTTTCTCGCATCAACAGATCAGCAGTAGGGCACAGGTCTTACCCATCGTTTGATAGGGTGGCGCAATCACAGCCGATCCAAAGTTGGCCACAGTTATCCTTCGGTAAGTATTGAGCAATATATACGGTAAGTTGCCACCAACATAGTAATTCACCCCAAAAATAACGGCGTACGAGCCTAAAAGGCTCAACGCTATGATATAGAAGAGCGATGTCAAACACACCAGAGGTATCTGGGTGACGAGTAGCAGGCAAACAAAACACGTCCAAAAAGTAGCGTCGTTAGCAAATATGTAAATGTCCCCTAAAACTCTAGATTAATCCCAGAATTTATCGTGCATAACCACCCGTACCTAACTGGGAATAGAATAGAATTGAAGCAACCAGCAGGCCGTTCAACAGGAAGGCCAGCTGCACGGCCACAACAGGAATTCCAAATTTTCGCCATAAAAACAACCACAACAAGGCAAAAGCCAAGCCGCTGATAAAGGAGAAAATATCCTTTCCTAGAATATGGACGAGAGATTGCCTATGTTTTCTGTCCTAGAGCATGCCAAATTCCACCTACCTTGTCCACCGAACTGCGTAAGAATGCTAATCGCGGTTAGCATAAAAACCGCTCCAAAAATATACGCAATAATAAACAGTCCAGTCTTGAAAAATTTGTGACCGCTAAAACAGATAAAAAGCCCACACAGGAGAAGAAAAGCCGTGACTATCTTCCATTGAGTACCCACTGAAAATTACAACCCAAATAAAAAAGTAAGAACCTACACACTATTCAAATCTTCCGCATAAAATCCAAGTTTTTTTCGATTTTAAAAAAAAATTTGAACTATTGGTGATAACCATCTAACCTGGTCCTGAACAGTCAGCATCCCACGCAGCAACATCACATCCATAAGACACCGCAGGAACATAGGCGGCGCTTCTACCTAGACGTGTGGAGACAGCGGCAAAAACCCTTCCAGTGCCCGCGTATCTGCTATACATCTGCTTGAATCTATTGGCTGTTAGGCCTTCGGGAACTAGCGTTCCATATTTCACTATATCATCCACACTGATCATTTTCTGGATGTTTGCGAAATACTGTTCAGTACTGTTGTCGTGCTCTGACAGATATAGATAATACATCCGCGTTACAATGTTGCTTCTATTGCAAAAGTTTCCAAACTGTGAAGGCGGCTGACTGATTACCGTGATAAAATCATCAGATTCACTGATCTTCTGATACGGAGCGATTTCGGTCTCGAATGATAGATTACAGCCTCCAGGCACTGGATCTAGAAGGACATGGCTTTCAGGAATTCACCTCTCAATGTCCTCCAAACTTACCATATTTTGAGTAAGTGCTCACTGCGATAAGCATAGTTATGTTGTCGAGGAGGGCAAGATGATCGCGGAACAGGTAGAAGTGTGCAACATTTTCAGAGTTGCCTTTCCATATTAGTCCGATATTCGTTCCGGATATTTGCGCGTCCGAATCGTCGGATAGTGTGATATTTCCCATATAGGAATGCACTTGGATGAGGAAAAATCCGACGCCAGCATTGATATTTATTACGTCAATTCGTGTATCGATTAAAATGGTCAATGTGCGGAACTCAGTTATTTGGTGTCCTGGTGGCTTATTCTGCAGATCGATTGTGATGGGAGGATCTGGAAGTTCCTTTCATAGTATATTTTTCTTAGTTTTTAAAAAGGGCATTATCTATGTCAGCAACAAGCTATGAGTTTGTAGGAATGAATTTTTTTGTTGCATAAGGATTAGGAAGAATTTTACAGGGAGGCCCAAACAATTTTCCGATGAAAACACCACAATTTCTCGAAATCGGTGACAGCACAATGTTGTTATTCCAGAAAAAGGGCAGCTCTTCATTTATAGACAAAAGTTATTTTTTACAATAAGAAATTTCCTTTTAGTCCAAAAAGTGTCTTTAAAGGTGTTTTTGTGATTTTTCGGGAAAAAAATCGGCAAATTTTTCGAAATTTATTGAGAAAACCTCTTTTTGACACTAAGAAATTACGAAACAGCTCAAGAGTCTTTGGACTTCTTTAGAATCAACTTTTATAAACGTTTGCCATCGCAATTTTTCACTGCAAAACACCACGTCGTTGTCGCGCTTATTAAAATTCGGGTTTTTTTCGACAGATTGTGATTGAATAGTTGGTATCCAATCTCACTTTATAGTAGATTTTTGTGACTTTTTCAGAAGGAAACATCTTTTTTATAATTAAACGCTCTTTGCAACACAAAATTCGTACAAATGAGCCCATTTTTTCATTATGAAAATTTGTCTAACGTTGGTCCAAAACGTTTTCTGAGTTCGGGAATTTTCGCTTTTTCAATTCGGGGAAATATTTTTGAGGCCCAGAATTTATTATTGGGGTTTTGTCCATAATTCGTCGAAACGGTTAAGGAGGCGAGTTGCCAATAAAATTTATCTTATAATTTTTCACAGAAAATACCTGAAGTGTCAGTATTTTAAGTAAAAAATAATGCGATTTTTGCTGAGAAAGAATTGCTTAATAGAAACTTTGTTAAAACTACTTGAATATATAAAGACTTTTTCTTAACTTTCCTTAAATTAAAAAAAAATTATAGGAAAAATCTTCAGAGCGATGAGCGCGGCGAATTTTCCAAATAATTGTTTGGAAACTTTTGCTTTCTGGTCGTTTTTCAAGATAATCTTAATTACTTTCGGTAAAAAACGGAATAAAATTATTTGGTTGTGTGTCAAATTCGAAGCTGTAAAATGGTTTCTAAAGTTCCCTTCAAACCCATGAATGAAGCGAATTTTCTAGCAAAATTAATTTTGTAAATTTGGCTGAAAAGACCCCATTATGGTCAGAAAATAAGAAACTCATCAGAAAATAATGTTTCTTTTGCGTTCTCGATTAAAAACTTTCAGTTTTGTGATCGGTTTGGGAGAAAACCAGTATGGTTTTCGGCGAAAAACGGGAGGAATTTATTTCCGGTTTTATCTCGAATTCGACGCTGAAAAGAGATTTTGTAAAATTTTTACACAGCTATAATTTTTCGGTTAAAAGATCTCCAGATCGTCAGTATTTTTAAGTAAAACTCTACAAAATAGTGCGTTTTTGAGTAGGGAGTGAAGGAAAAAAAAATTCAGTCAAAACTAAAAAACCACATTTTTTTAACAAACTCTACAATCTTCAGAGGAATGAAGGTGACGATATTTCCACATAATCTGTTATAAACTTATTCTGTTCGTTTTTTGAGAGAAAATTATTTGATTTTTGTTCACAATTCGAGGCTGGAAAGGGATTTTAAAACTTTTTACAAAGCGACCAAGGATTCGAAATATATTTCATAATTTTTAACGGAAAATTTGTCAGTATCTTTAAGAAAATTGAGCATTTAGAAGAAAAAATAACTTGACTAAAACTGGAAAATTCTGAAACTTTGAGGACATTTTAAAAATATTATTAATAAATGACCCTTAAAATAAACCTTTAAACAAGTAAAAGAAGTCATCAACATTTTCCCAGCAACGGAACTGAGTTACTGCGCCGGTGCGTTGGGTTGGCGCACCAAGCCATTTGCGTAGCACAGCGCCAACTCCTAAAAATTCCCTGAGTTACCCAGGCCTAGTTTCAGGCCATCAAATGTCTTTAAATGCGATTGGAATTTTGATTTCGCAGGAGATTCGGATAGCGTGCACATGCAGCATGCACTTTATCGATAAAACCGCGGTTGTACACTAAAAAAATACGTTTCAGCTCAAAAACATTGGAAATCCGTTCGAATTAAAGTTTGCCATGCACATTTTTCCTCGAAAATGTTTATGTTTTTTCCGTGACAACCCACCAAAAAACGGAAAAATTTTCGAAAACTAGACCATAATTCGGTGTTGAGCCTGATTTCTGCTCCGTATGCCAATCAGCGAAAACTTCGGGCAAGTGAATTTTTTGAGGAAATTAATAGATTTTTGCATTTAAAAAGTCCTACAACTGATGACCCTTATGCTTAAAAAAAACTAATTAGGACATTAAATTAACTAGATTCTGCAAAAATCCCTTCTACCCATTTAAGCGATTTCCGCAAAGATAAGTGTATGATGCAGGGTTTGGCAACTTATGGATATTCCCCAAACCTACTACCATTAGCGAGCACTTAGGCGTAAAAACGGAGCTGGGAGCTGAATAAACAGGTGTAGCAATTTTAAAAGTAATTTAAATCGGTTATTTTCTAGCTTATCAGACCCCCGCGATCTAAGTTCGGAAAATCCTCACCGTATAGATAAAAATTTTAGTTCCAACTTTCCTTAGTGGTGTTTGCCAAAACTAACGTTTTGTTAGTTTGCTTGTTGGTTGATTTATTTAGTTTTTGTCAGTTTTGGCCAATGGCTGGTTTTGTAGGTAATTTTAGGCAGGGATTTCGCTCGAAAGGGAAAATAGGCAATAGGGCAGCATCGGTATAATGGGAGGTGTTAGGAGTGCAAACTAAGATAGGGTTCTATAAGATGAGCGTATTGTTCACTTCGAACAGAAATCATCCTTAAATCAAGTGAAATACTTACAAGTAACGCCGGAAAAGGCACTTGAGCAGAAGCAGGCCAGAAACCCCAAACGAAAAAGTATGTTTTGCATGGTGCCTAGATACTTTAGGCGACAAAGCCAGATTGAGCAAGCTTGCCTAGATTACACTAAGCGACTTAATTCCTAATCTGGATAATTATACCAAGCAATTACTTATGAAAAGATAAACGATTATATATGGAAACACTCACTGACATTTCAGGTTAGTCTGAGACATGGAGATAAGCAATCGACTCCTGTTCTGGACTAGGTCGATTATGGATCGACATCGCAGCGTTCTTGTTCTTTCTGTGAAACAACAAGGACGGACATAGCCTCCACTCTGGGAATCCAAGTGCAGCGTGTCAATCGATTAGAGCTCACTTCCATAGAGTCGTAAGGACGGGAGATCGCTGATTCAACTAGTGGTCGTGAGAGGCGCAACGTTCGCAATATGGTGGCGGTGTAATCAATGAATTTGTAGTACGTTAATGTTGTGTGTCAAATGTGAACAATGAAAGTTCGGTCGAATACATAGAAAATATAACCGCAATGGGTAAAGACCAAGAACTGTTGGAGGCTGCTCGTAAAGGGAACATAGCGGTTGTGGAAAAAATATTGGGCCAAAGAGCAAAAAGGAGTGGTCCACTTGCAAGGTGGGTTATAATCAGCTGTCAGACAATGCATTTTGTTATTGTTTTCAACACCTTATCGGCAATTATCTTAACTAGTTGAGTGGTTTTAATGCCGGTGATTAATGCGGGTAAATTCCCCGAAAGACAGCCTTTAAACTCGGTCGCTAGTCGCTGACTAGTTCAAGTTAGAATCCACCTAGACTCGCTTAAGTAAGGGGGCAATAGGGGTTAATTACTTGCTACTCACTAGCAAGCTCGTATGGTGAGTGCTTAAGCTTAAAACCCCCTAAACTGGCCGTCAAGATACACCAGTAGTTTGCCCTAACAGGTAGAGGATCATTTGTCAAGTTCAATGTTTCGCGGCGTGGTTTATTCACCCTTAAAACTAGTGTTTTTACATAATTCCTTTTCAAGGACTGCCAAGATTTTATATGTGAAAAATTTTAACGTTGAATGAAAATATGAAATTCGAGTTATCGTTTTGCAAAATTATCCACTTATTCCCTTACCAACTTCCAATGTTTCAATCTCAAATCGGTTGAACTTACACTAAATCTTGAAGATACACCATTAAATAGGGCTTATTTTCCACTTAAAACTAGCTCAAAAGCTTGCAGCAAACACCTACCACCTGTTGACTGAGTGACAGTGACATGAAAGGGGAATTTACAAGATTATCAACGGAAACAAGATCAAAGTGCACACATTTACCCGATTTTTTCTCCAATTTTAGTACTTTGTGCATTCGTTTTCACATTCTTTAGTCAGGAACAAAAATAAATGGCTGTATCGAGTAAACAAATAAAATATTGCCATTTTGGAATATTTTGGGTTTTTGGGTTGGCGACATTGAAAAAACGATGCGTTTTTCGCAAAAAAATAGACCAGAAATTCGTGAATAATTGAGATAAAACGTTTGATGTTGAGGAAATAATCTGTAAATCCTTGACAAATTTCTATGACAACATTCTAGAAAGGTTTCTAGTTTTCACGTTTCAGTTTCAAGATTAATGCGAGTTTTAAGAACGGCTCGTATTTAGAAAACCGGTTAGGCTACGAACCTCTAGTTTTCATTGCGGGAAGAGCATTAAATTGCGTACCTTTTATACCAAACATCGTTTTAGAAATGTTTATAGTTTTCACGCTAAATGCGAAAATTCAAGATTATTGCGAGTCTTCCGAACCGCACCACACGTATTCGTTGGCTAGTATCGTTGAGCTACAAAACATTTAAACAGTTCTAAAACCTAACCGCTTGTCGTAGCAAAATCATGCGAGATATATTTTTATTTGGAATACAACAAGAAATTTGAAACATAATTGTAATAATTAAAAAATGCAGTGGCGTACCATTTTGTTCTGTAACAAATTTGGTAGCGTTTATTTTCTATTACAAAACAAGCGTCTTTCCTACCTATTGATCTCTGGAAAACGTCGTTCAAATATCTCTGTGTTTTGAATTTTTAAAACTCAATTTCAACATACTGTAAATAACGTAACGGGGCATTTTTGGGGCACCTACGGCTAAATTAGGGTTATAATAATAATAAAATAATGCCTCGTCCTCATGAAACACCTTTTATACGCATAATTTTCAGTTTGCCATTGCCTAGTTTTTCCAAGTTTCAGTTTGCCACTTATTTGCAAGTCAAAAGCTGCGATCTAGAATTCAAACTTTTTTATATCTACCGCGAAATTGTCGTTTTTTGCGAAAACGTGTTTGTCTGGCCCACTAATTTACTCCTCAACAGCCAGACATAGGAAGTGCATTCAGTTGAAAGCAGTTTGGCTTATTGCTGTGTGAACATGCATAATGGTCGCATAATTAGCTCTCACATTATTGTGGCTCATGACCTTGTTTGTGACTTTCCAGCTATTTTCATATTTATTAACGACCACTAAAAAAAGCCTGTTGTTTTCATCGATTCTCTCTAGCCCCCAAGCTCCAGGTGCTTTCTGTTGAGAGTCGAACTAGAGCTCAATTAGGCCTAGAGTTCATTGCCATGTTTAGGCTAAGGGCAGCTTGTCCTCGACGGTATATCAACAATTTTGACCTCTAGTTAGGTGCGGTTTTGCCCTCAAAAACCCCGTTTGCGTGATTGAATCATAATCAAAGTAATTTAGAGTGTTTCAAATCGGAATATTTTATTTGTGTCGTAGATTTATTATTTGAGGGCAGAGCGAGTGGATGTCCCAAAGTGGCCACACTCTTCGCCAAGACTAATCCCTTCATAGATTGGCAATACGGCCACCCTCATTCCATAGTTATTGGATTTAGCTGCCCGTTGTGCTTTATTGCTTTCTCAAGGACTGCGAATAAATAGGTTTATAGTTCTTGACATGTTGACAAAACTCCGTTTGGCAACACAGTTTTGTTGCTCGTAATCTTCCATTTTAATAGAACTTTTATTGGGGTAGAGTGGGTTTGAGATTCACATGTTTTTTAACTCACATTCAGTTCAATGGTTTGATATCCCTATTAAACACAGAAAGTCGCAGTTGTAAACGCAGAACGTTCAAGTGACTCCAGAAATAAAAATCGAGTGGGTTTAAATCAGGTTGTTTTGCAGGCCGATACCATTACTCATCTGCTTAAAAGGGTTCTTGAGCTGCTTTTTTCAGTTTCTCAGTATGGAATTTTCTTTTCAAGCTCAATTTCTTCTTTTGTTTTACATAATTTACGATCTTTGAACATTCAGTTGTGTAATCTTCGTTGGTTATTTTCATCGATTTCGTTAATGTAGTACAGACAAAATAATATTTTCTATCAAATGCCCCTACAAACCTTTAATATTACGCTAATTGAATTTCATAAAACGACTCTCGTTGACAGACAGGAAGAGTAAAATTGTTCGCGTGAACTCCGGGTGTGGCAAAACGAGCGAAACAAATTCGATCGATTTTGCCTCCAACGCGAGTAGAGCCCTAAAAGCCAGATCCTAATACCTTTGAAATAGGCCCGGAAAATAAAAGAACTCCCTCAATACGAATGTTGTTCGGGCAATGAGAAATTGAGGCATTTCAAGCAGCCAATTTGGGTGGCTTGTTTAGCTTCGGTTCCTCTTTGGGAGCTGATTTTTAATTTGTTTGCTGCTTATAGGCCGAATTTCCGGTTCATATTCATATACGTTTGAGTAAGATTCGGAAGGAAACAGTTAACAAGCTAATCAACAGTTAACGTGGGTATTAGTATTCATTATAAGCGCTTAACATTGAGTTTTTTTGGGCTGGTTATATGCAGTATTTTACGTTCTTTTTCATTGCTGGTTTAACGGGATTTGGATCGGCGGAAAACAAAACCAACTTTTTCAAATACTTTGGGATGGCATGAAGGTGGCAAAATGAATGAGAGCATATCCGCACAATAAATGCGAGTTTCAAAATGAATTCTTCAACTCAGATGTGCGATCTGTTTAAAAATTCGTAGCTTCGAAAATAAGACTACCCGCAGCTTGAAAGTTTCACATTATAAAGCTGAAAGTTGAAGCCAAAACTACAAAGCTTTTCATTGAAATCGCCGCAAATCCTGATTCTTTCAGCATTTGTAAATGCTAGTTTCAAATTAAATGTTTCTACCCAGATGTAAACACTTTCTTAAATTTTAATAGCTTCCAAAGCAGTACAAACAGCAGCTTGGAAATTATGCTAATCCCTAGGGAACACTTAAAATTTGAACTCCCCAAACTTGCAATCAGATCACAAAAAATTCACATTTTATTCGGTTTGAAAATGCGAGTCTGAAAATGAATGTGGCTGTTCACGTGCGCGCTGTTTAAAAAATGATAACTTCTAAACTACAGTAAGTAGCAACTTGAAAGTTTAACGGCATAAACATAAAATTTTTGAAAAAAAAATGCGAGTCCCAAAATGAACCTTGCAGTTCGCTTTCTTTGTAAATTTGTAACTTCCAGGGTAGGAAAAACAGCAAAAAATTCACGTCGCGACAACTGTTCAAAATAGCCCACTAAGCAATAGGACCTTTTTCAAAGTGTTTTAAGAGCTTTATTTTGGAAAAAAATACTGATTATCTCGGAAATAGTTTAAAATATCCAATCAGATGAAAGGTTAAACTAGCTAAAAAACGGTTGAAAATTTCCAGTCATTTGTTTCGATGTTTTTGATAGGCTGTGTCGAGGACTGTATTTTACTGCTGAGGTTTATCCGAAATTCTTAACCTCTAAGGAGATAGAAGCATAAATGTTCCCCGATGTTAAAATTAAGTTTTAAACACCCTGTAGCTCAAAAACGGTTGAAAATTTCCAGTCAGTTGATCGCCTGTCTCGAGTACTGTGTTTTACTGCTTAGGTTTATCCGAAATACTTAACCTCTAAAGAGATAGAAGCATAAATGTTTCCCAATGATAAAATGAAGTTAAACACCCTGTGGCTCAAAAACTCAATAACGGTTGGAAATTTCCAGTTACTCGTTAAGAAGTTTTTGATAGCCTGTCTCGATTACTGTATTTTACTGCTGATGTTTATCCGAAATTCTTAACCTCTAAGGAGATAGAAGCATAAATGTTCCCCGATGTTAAAATGAAGTTTTAAACACCCTGTAGCTCAAAAACGGTTGAAAATTTCCAGTCGGTCGTTAAGACGTTTTCGACAGCCTGTCTCGAATACTGTATTTTACTGTTGAGGCTTATCCGAAATTCTTAACCTCTAAAGAGATAGAAGCATAAATGTTCCCCAATGTTAGAATGAAGTTAAACACTTTGTGGCTCAAAAACGGTTGAGAATTTTCTGTCAGTCGTTTTCCATAGCCTGTCTCGAGTACTGTATTTTACTACGGAGGTTTATCCGAGATTCCTAACCTGTAAGAGATAGAAGCACAAAACGTAAAAGTTTAAAATCAACTATCTGCAAACCATATGGTTTTTTCCAATTTTCGTCTTAAATGAAATACGGTTTAATACAATTTTAAGACAAAGTCATGTTCTCACCGTGGCGAAATAGTTGATCGGCCATGTATTTGATTTCGCAAAGTTGAATCAAATAATTACGCCAGACAGCTTGTTTAATTAAAACGAGCTTAAAAAGTGTCCATAAATTGCATGAATTTCTTCTAAAGCATGACAAATCCATTAAGTAGAAGCAAATTGTCTGTTTTTTTTTCAGCTTACGACGAGGTCCGGGTGCTAATGTGCAAGACAGTAGCGGATATTCGCCACTTCACCACGCCTCACTGAATGGACATCCGTACGTATCTCTTTACACTGTTGATTGAATTATTGCCAAATAGCGGCAGATTGAATGTTGAGAAATCGAACCGCAATTTTTTTCCAGCGACATTGTACGTCTTTTACTAGAACACGATGCTTCGCCGAACATTGTGGACAGTAAAGGGTCTTCGCCCTTGCATTTGGCCGCCTGGTCTGGAAATCTAGAGATTGTTAAACTTCTTCTATCTGGCCCTGCGATTTGCAACGTTAATTTAACGGTGAGTTAATTGAATAATCGAGAATAATATCGTTGAATATTGACAAATGTGCCAAAAATTTACAATACATTGTGGTCTAAACACTTTTGTTCCAATAAAGATCTGCCTTTATTTAATTCCCGAATTTACGTAGTGCGTGTTTTTAATAAGAAAGCGTCATTCTTTTGCAATTTTATTTTGAGCGGTGTGCATTTTTACAAAGTGAGAAAGTTTTTTGATGCGCAACCGTTTCTTCTATTTACTCACATTTTGAGTCGCGCCCCAATCTGGGAAGTTTTTCACGCAAATCCCCATTTCTTAAACAAAGTTTCATTTTAAACTTGATGAACATCTTCCGGTTTAATGCAGAAATGTTTGACGAAATTGCGTCGATGTATCCGAAAGGGAGAATCGTAACCGAGTTGAGTTGTAATTATCTCTTGGAAATAAAAGGACTGTTATCAACAACAAATCCAAAACTCTCCTCCACTTGCGACTTTAGCCGGAGAAACTGCAACTGACTTCGGCATCAGTTTCCGGTCCAACAAATACGCCGTAGAAAAGATCATAGCAAGTTTGTTTGCATTATAAGTTGGGCAACAAAAACGAAACATGCCGGTTACGTAGAGCAGAAATCCATAGGAAACTCGGGAATATTAAATTCAGTTTAATTCAAAAGATACCGCAGCGAGTGATAACTTTGAAGTTTAAGACGGAAACTCCCGACCGACGACAGTTTCTCGATTCTTTGTGCCTTGTCGACTTAGATATCTGAAATGTTATTAAATTAGGTAAACATTACGTTTGCATGTGCGTTGCAATGTTTCCCGGATTTGTCTAAAATAGTTGATTAATTCCAGTCAAAGGACGATGAGACGGCTCTTCATTGTGCGGCTCAATACGGCCATACAGGGGTCGTGAGTGCGCTGTTAGAGCATGCTTGCGACCCGGGAATAAGAAACTGCAAGGGAGAAACAGCTTTGGAATTGGCCGCTCAGTATGGGAGGTAATTAAGAGGGTTGTTGGATTGATGGCAAATTGAAAAATCCATTTGCTTTTATTGCAGATTGGAAACTGTTGAGCTGCTGGTCCGAACCGATCCCATGCTGATTCAGCGAACCACCCCCGATATCATTTTCCCGCACACTCCTCTACATCTGGCCAGCAGAAATGGACACAAGTAAGTCCTGCTCTGTATTCTAGCAGTAGAGGAAAATCCGAATCCAGATAACTTGCCATCCTAGAGGATGACAAAACGAGTCGCTGATGTGCTTTTACCGTTAAGCATGCATCGATGTGTGAGGGTGCATTGTAGCGAATAAATCCAGAATTGGCGCATTGATGAATTTCACAGGTGTATGCAACAAACAAGCTGTTGCACAGAAACGCCCTACCAGCCCCACTTTGTGCATAGCATCCCCCCTTCGATGCTCCGATGGTGCTCTGATGCGAATGCTTAATGCGATTCAAATGCACATTTCACCGTTTGGGTTACTGGCTCAATCAATTAATGGCCATTTTGCCCTACTAATTGGAGAGCGTTTTACGCCAAACACTATTAGATTTCACGCGTTTATGAACATATTGATTCCACGCGTGTTTATTAGTTCACTTGCCAGTTGCATCACTAGTTCCGTCAAGTATTCTCGATTATTGCGCTCTAGATACAGTTTTTTCCCAATTAGCATCCTTTTTTTGTTCAGGAACGACTTCTCGAGAGCTTTTGGAACCTCCACCAAGTAAAATGAACCATCAATTGAGGAGTAAATTGTTAATTTGTTCACGACTATGAAGATGCTTGATATGCATGTTAGCGAAACGTCAGGACCAAGTATGAAACCTAAAATCTACCGAGTGTTCAAACACTGACTGCGAAAAAAAAAATGTCACAAAAAAGTTTTCATTGAACAGTTTGGTGTATACGGACGAAATGTGTCTTATAGGCCTCCGCTCACCACGCGTTTTTTCGGGTTTGGGCCTTCCATGGGGTTGCGGTTGCACCGGCCGTGGTTTATCAATTTTTGACCTGGTGTTTTCTACGATTTATTTATATTTGCATTTACATAACACACACAGTTTATTATTTCCAGCTATTTTCGGACATTTTCCTCACAACGGCGCCCCTATTATTTCCTTTTTTCTTATAATCTATTGGATGCCAACGTTTTGTTTTATTCACAAACCGCGGAAACGTAAACGAGACGAAAGATTAACATAAAAAAAACTTGTGCAAACAAATGCTAACTACAAAAAACAAATGCAGGCGCAATTTTAGGAAATCGTAAATAAAATAGAAACTGTTCATAAACATTGACGAAGAAATTGAATAACTAAAAAGAAATGTAATTGATTCTTGTGAAGAGATGGCTGGGAATGATTAAAGAAGTGTTAGAGGAGGGACTGTAAGAAAAACAAGTCTATAAAAAATAAGAACACAAGAAGTACAAAAAACGAATGATTCGACAAGCAAAAGGAAAGTAATATGAGGACAGACGAGGAGAAATTGAGAGTTTAGACGAAAGGTATTGTTCAACCTACAAAATAAAACGAAAAACCTTGCAGGAACCTAGAGAAAGAATCAAAGCACAGTCCTGGCGGACAAATGCACTTATCTCGATTTTATTCGAGCAAAACATTTACTTGGTCAGACCTTCTCATTTCAGCTGTTTTGGAAAAATGGGTTGGCGAAAGTTTCTCGAAATTTGTCATTGTTATATTTTTAGAATTATTTTGATCACTTTATTATTTTTTGAATGGATTCGTTTTGCTATGTCTAATATTTTTTAGGTAAAAAACCAATCTGACTATAGGTACGACTTTTCCCCTTTAAGTGTCTGTATTGATTTCTACTACTTTTCCTAGTTTAGGGGAAGTTTAAAAAAAACAAGCCATTTTACTTTGACATGTATCTTCTCCATATGTAACGTCCTCCTAAGAATTTTAAAATCACATTTTGAATTTTTTTACATATCACACAAAATTCGGTGTGAGGGAAGTGTTCCGATCGCAATTGATCTCGACTCGTCGCATTAACGGTTGTCGAAATAATTCCAGAAACAAAGTTCCCAAAAAAATCCGAATATCTCGGAATCAATTGACGACTGGAACAAAAACGTGAAAATCAACGATTTTATAAACGATGGCCGCGAAAAAAATTATCAAAAAACAGTTTGTCTTGAGCATTTTGGTGTATAACCGACGAAATATGGCTTATAGGCCTGCCGCTCACTACGCGTTTTTTCGGGTTTGGGCCTGCTATGTGGCTGTGGTTGCATCGGCCGTGATTTATCAATTATTGGCCTTCTAGTATGTATATCGATCCTTTGTACGATTTATTATCCTTTTTTTATTCTTTGCTGGGTCAGATCTTTTCAAACCCACCGTTTTCGAAACAATAGTTTGCCAAATTTGTAAAAATGTTTTACAATTTGTCAATCACGTTCTTATATTTTTCGAATTCTTTTGATGACTTTGTGATTTAATCAATTGATTTTTTACCTTTTTTCTCTAACAATCGGTACCATACGACTTTTGACCTTAAGAGCCTGTACTGCTTTCTTCTACTTTCCTTAGTTTAGGGGAGAATTTTTTTATTTACCCAACTTTTTTTGGCACGTATATCGTCCAAAGCTAACGTCCTCCAAAGGAAGAATTTTGACCATATTTTTTTAAATTTTTTGGTTGAAAATCAATCGGGTTCCAAATCCTTTGGTTTTGAGTCACATTTCGCATTTCTTTCCCCTAAACAAGGTTTCCTATTGAAAAAAGGATTTTCGATTTTCGGAAGAGAAATTCCGAAGGAAAGAAGAAGGAAAAGAAATTCCGGAAACGTAATTTCCAAAATATGGCGAATTTCGCCAAATTCAAAAATCATTTACGACTTCAGAACATGCCACTGGATAGAATCTTCATTAAGAAACTGCTATTCATTTTTAATCTAAAGTGAAACGAATTAAATTTTTGACGGTTTTTTGGCCAAATTTTGCGGAGTTTTATCGAAAGTATTATTATATTCATAATTTTGCGGATGGAATGGTGGATTTGAATTGCGTGTTTGTCTATGCCACTCGCAATAATTTTTTTTGTTGATCGTTTAGTTTCAGTGATTTTTTAAAATTTCTAGTTCTGTCTTTTGTTATTGTTGCTTTAAGTTTTCACTCGTGTTTTAGTCGCTTCTATTGCTTGTCAACTTTAAGGCAAAATTAGTTCGATTTTTCCTTGATTTAATGGCAATTATGTGCAAGTTGACTTTAAACAGCAATTAGTAATAATCCGGCTAAGCAATTACCGCACGCAAATTTGCCATACGGTAATCTGAAATAGTCCTATATCTAGGTAGTGTCGTAATTATAATGGAGGTCTATAAACAGCAATATATGGCCTATCGCTCTACTAGAAACTGATGGCATCTCGATGCAATCTGCTGACTTTACGCCTGATGGAACGTGCATATTGCATTCGAACTGGCTGACATCCAGCCTAAACTGCAGAAATTTTCCCGAATAGAGAAACTGCCCCCAATCTATGTGTTGGTTTTGTTGTTCCAGAGCGGTTGTTGAGGTTCTTTTACGAGCCGGATTTAACGTGAACATGCGTACGAAATCGGGCACCGCTCTTCATGAGGCGGCTCTATGTGGTAAAGCTGAGGTCGTGCGAACTCTTCTAGAGCATGGCGTCAACACCAATATAAGAGACTCCAATAACTACACAGTTATGGATCTGTTGAGTCAGTTTAACAACGCTCAGGCAGCTCAGGAGATTATCAGCTTATTGAAACGTGCGTTTATGCAGGCGGAATTTTGCAATTTTCGGTGCTCAATTCGGTTTCTTTAGGGCATAAACGTGGGCTTCCATTAGTGGACAGCGATGGGGAGAGTATAAGTCAGCCCTTTCCAACTCTGCCCAATACGGATTCGGACTTGGGCAGTCCATATGAAAATGTGAGGCCTTCTTCGAAGAATGCAAGGTAATGTATTTGTGTGGGTTTTTTACACCGATTTATTTCGTTGTCTATGTGGGAATACTTGTTTGTGGGCTGGTTTTATTTTTTTCGGCATGACTCAGTAGTAGTATATTTAATATTCCTGATATTTTGCTTTCGAACAACTAAAAAAGGATCTCTTAAGGTGCTTGCCGCTCGCTCCTACTACACAAAACGTATAGCAGTCTCCAACTAGGCTCGAACAAATACTTTTTGGGAGAAATCTAGTTGTAATTTTTTAAATCCCCTAAACAGATCGGTCGTAACAGATCCATCGCCTAGCACATCGCCGCAACGATGGGATTACCATCAGAAGTACGCGCGACCACCCGAAGGATTCGACGACAGGAGGGTGTCGGGTGTGTCTGAACACTCAATGTGAGTGTCTGCGATTATTTCGTTGTTTAGTGCTGTGTTTTTATTTATTATTTTTTTTAGTTTTGGCAGTGTTAGGTCGATTAGTAGTAGTAGTAGTAGCCGAACTATCAATACCAACGCTCATCAAGGCGGGGTTTATATGGACATGAACTATTCGGGCATGTAAGGGTTTTTTTCAATTTGAAATTCATTTGTGGCTACTTCCATAAACATCCAGCTGTTGAGTTGATTATTTCATTGCATGTTTTAGGCATAACAGCCCCTTGCTTCAAACCGATCCTTGTAAAAGCATGCGATCCTTTAACGTAGAGACTTTTTCCCCTTTACACGGCATTGCTTTCGATTTCGTTGAAAGCCTGTCGGAAAGACACAGCAGGGTGTTTGATGGCTCTCTTACTACCGATGATAGCAGTAGTTTGGCTACATCTGATTCTTCTAGGTCGGTTTCAATTTTTTTTTTACTTTTACTAGCTTGCAAGAGCTTTGTAGTTGACTTAAAGACAATTTCAGAGACTCCGACAACAGTCTCTACCACCTTCCCTCGGCCCCTAGACAGTTTATGGATACGAGCACTCATTCAGAGGACTTGAACTACTTGTGTTCCTCCAATAGAGAGTCGGACCAAATTTCAATTTCCTCTACAGCCTCTAGTTTGGGTTATGGAAGGCGGCCGGACAGTGGCGGCGTTCCCTTGTATATCCCGATGAATCGGGGCTCGCACAGTCCAGGTTCTGGCAGCAAAGTATCGGTAAGTGTATTGGTTCAGCTCTTAAAGTCTTCCTCTGACTGCTTAGAGCTGATTTAGCCGACTCCTCCGAAGAAGCCTCCTAGACGATCGGTGCCTCTCTCTCCAACGCATTCGCAGCCGATGTCTTCTTCAGTGGATGGAGTGAGCAACGGTGCTTACGAGTATTTATTTCTGGCACACAGTGGAACAAGGAGCCAGAACAACCTCAACGAGTACGAGAAGGGGCATAGAAGAGAACGGCTCGGGCATGGACACAGCATGGATCAGTATGTGGAAATGAACGTCTTCAACATCGCTCTGGATGATGATCCGATTGAGAGGTTGAATTTCCAGACCCAATCCAGATTGCCGTGGTCTTTAGGGTGCGTTTCCTTGATTCCAGGCCGAAGAGCGAGCTGCAAAGGGGCAAGAGCGAGGATCTGGATAACCGGAAGAAGCCGGAACCGGTGGCCATTTCCAGTCTTTACGAAAACATTGTTATCAAACAGCAGAACCCCAGACGGAAGCTGCGCAGACACAATGACGTCTACGAGGAATACACGCTGAAGAAAAGGGGTAGTGATGAAGTGTCGTGTTCGTCTGCGCCAGAGCGCACGTTTGTCTCAAGTGCTTACATAACAATTTCGGAAAACGGCGACAAATCGAAGCAATCGTCCGGCTACAAGTGCAACAAGGCCGACCGCAACTACCCGCTCTCACCCACTCATTACAATCAACCCCCCACTCCGGAACATCCACCCCCCTCGGCTATGCAGGCGGAAAGTATTATCTATGAGAAAATTCGGCCTTTGAGTCAGGTAAGTTCTTGACGCATATTTTTCAAATGGCTTTAGCTGCTCAGTATTAAGATTTCGGCGATGTGTTTCTCAAAACCGTCTTTTATTAAATTGAGGATTTTCGGGTTGTTTCGCCAACACTAAACACATAACACGAAGTTTTATTTTATCGTTCAAAGTAGATCTCGAGTAGATGGTTCCGATGTACGATGGTGGATACATTGAAAAAAAATGGAATGCAATTTTAAAAATGTGTTTGTCTTTGTTTTTTAACCTTTTACATGAAAGTGCAAAGTGAAAATGATGATTATCATCTGATCAATCGGAGCCTAAAATTCATATATGTAGATGGTATTAGCTGTTAGTATTATTAGTTTTCCTATTTCCATATCAAAGGGCGCTTTTTGGTGCATTTAGTGAGAAGTAGATTTGCACATATTTACACGCGCGCATTTACATGTTTACCATAAGAACGTGCAAGGTAGTTTTATTTGATAAGCGTCAAGGTTTTCTTCGCAATTTAAGCCAAATATTAAAGCACTGTGTACAATTTGTAAACGTTCCTCCGATCGATAATGCAGTATATTTCCTGGCAAAAACGTTAGTTTGTTATTGTATGATGAATTGTACAGTATTTTATTGTTTCTGCAGCATATTGTTTGCTTGTTTATTTTGATTGTTTCGTTGGCCTTATTATTATTTTTAGTTCGTATTTATTATTTTATTACTATTGTTTTCGAGTTATTGCAATAAACAGATTTATTATTATTTTTTTGTTTTGTTTATTTATTTTCCTTTTTATATTTCAGCCAGTTTGTGTTGATTTTTTGCTAGCTGGTCTTGAAAACGTTAACAGCAAAAGCTTGGATCGACACCGATTTTTCAAAATGTTTCGATGTTTTTTGATGATTATCTTCAATAAAAATTGAAGTATATTTTCAGCAGGTCGCGTACCCATAAGGTAGATGTTTTCGGAAAAATAAAATTTATCGAAATGTCCTAAACACCTAAAATAACTGGGAAGCTCTTTAGGTTRAACGCAGTAAAAGAACTTGCATCTGTTTTTTTTGCCGAAAATTGCATGTATGGAGGTCGATGTTTTTGAAAAAAATCACATCTTCCAAATGCCCCAAACACCGTCAATTGGCATTAAGGCCTGGATAACAACACTGTGTTGAGTTGCGCTTTTGAGTTGTTGCCACTCTCTGAGTTAATGAGTTATAACTCATCGGTGAATGAGTCATAACTCATTTATTAAGGGGGATTAAAACTGTACGAAACCCTAGACATTCGGAGTATCGTTTTTCCAGCAACGGAACTGAGTTACTGAGTACTAAGTCATTTGAGCAGCACTGCTCCAACAGCTGAGTTATACACTGAGTTACCTTTTCTGTACAACCGATTGCTTAAAATTTCGGTTTTTCTGGTTTTTGTCTAAACCGAGAAAAGCTGGAAATTTTGAAGAAACTTTAAAATTCTTCAGAGCGATGAGGTTTTCAATGAGTTTTCCAAATAGTAGATCATATGCCTTTGCTTTCTCTGATCGTTTTTTTTGGAAAACTAATTTTTTCGAGAAAAAAAAACGGGAACTTTTTATTTAATCCCAAATTCAAAGGTAAAACGGGTATTCGAAAAAGACACCAACTGAAGGAAGAGAAGATCAAACTAAATACCCCCAGTTTTCGATTCAAGGACCCTCAGTTTGCCACAGTTTAGAAATACTGACCTAAAATTGAAGAAACCGGAAATAAAAATAACTAAATTATTCACAGCGATGAAGTTGGCAAATTTTCCAAAAAATTGATTAAGTATAAAGTTTCACTTCTTCTGTTCGGAAAAATATTTTTGGGAAAAAACGCAGAAAAAATTATTAGGGTTTTGTCCAAAATTCGAAGCTACAAAAATTTAAAAAAAATCTTCACAGAGCGGTTAAGGCGGGAAGTGTTCCAATAGAACGTATTTGATAATTTTTCACAGAAAATACCTTAATATTGTCATTGATTGAGTGTTAATAACTTTGCTAAAACTGGAAAGACCTGAAATTTTAAATAAACTTTAAAAGTCTTCAGAGCGAATTTCCCAAATTATTTTTTGTAAACTTTTGCTTTCTGGTCATTTTTTTCAAGATAACCTTAATTACTTTGGGAAAAAAAGTAAATAAAATTATTCGGTTTTTGTGCCAAATTCGAAGCTTAAAAGGGCTTTCTAAAATCTCCTCCAAAGCGGTGCGTGAGGCCAAATTTCTAACAAAATTTATTGTGTCGTTTTTGGCTGAAAAGACGCCATGGTTGTCGGAAAGAAGAATGGAATCAGAAAGTAACACATTTTTTGCGCTTTCGATTTAAAACTTTTAGTTTTGTGATCGGTTTTTCAAAAAACCTTAATAATTTTCCGCAAAATGGGAAAACTTATTTTCGTTCGTGTCACGAATTCGACGCTGAAAAAGATTTTCGTAAAATTCCTTCAGCTATAAATTTATCTTGTAATTTTTATCGTAAAATACCTCCAGATTGTCAGTATTTTTAAGTGAAGCTCTATAAAATAGAGCGTTTTTGGGTATAAAGTAAAGCAAAGAAAATGAATCAAAACTAAAAATCCACGGTTTTTTCTACAGTCTTCAGAGGGATGGGGGGAGATCAATTTTTATAAACTTTCTGGTATATTCTGCATGTCTTTATTCTGTTCGCTTTTTAATAAAAAAATTGTTGATTTTTGTCCAAAAATTGAAGCTGGAAAAGGATTTCAATATTTTTTACGAAACGACAAAGGAGGCGAGTGCTTAATAAAATTTATTTTAAAATTTTTCACGGCAAATATCCTTAGATTGTCAGTACTTTTACGTGAAACATGAGAACACACAAACAGAAAAATGAGTGATTAGAAGAAACAGTCACTTTCCTAAAACTGGAAAATTCTGAAATTTTGAAAAAACTGAAAATATTATTAACAAATGGCCCTTAAAATAAATCGAAGAACAACTTAACAAAAAAGTCAATTTTTGGCCAGCAACGGAACTGAGTTTCTGCGCCGGTGCCTTGGGTTGGCACACAAAGCCAGTTGCGCAGCACTGCGCCAACTCCCAAAAATTAACTGAGTTACCCAGGCCTAATTTGCATAATTGGGAAGCTTCATAGGTAGAAAGCAGTCAAAAAGCTCGCATGTGTAATTTTCATTTTTCTGCTGAAAATTTTCTTCGCGTGAATGATTTGATTGAAACCCTATCTTTGTGTAATTTCTGCACCTATGAGTCCAGGTTCTTTAGGGTCCAGGTTTTTGTTTAAACACCGTTTGAAAAATAAGCTCTAAACCCTTCTTTCAAGAGCAAAAGCACCGCTCTTGTCCAATTAAAAAAAATCTGCATGTCTAGTTTTGGGGGACATTTTTTCCACTTTTTCAACACATTTTTATAAGACAACAAGGCGGTTGTTAACCGCCTTGTACAGCAGAGCTTAATTGAGCAAATAAATATTTGTGTGCGATTCCTGTTTGATGCAGGAATATAAGAGAAGATCCCGTGATATGGAGACCGAAACCGAAGAAGAATATCTACTGATTGGCGATCTGGAATCAAGCGGCAGTTTTTCCAGCAGTGTTTCCTTATCGGATAGAAGCGTGGATAATATTCTGGAAGAATACCATTCGGACACTCCGTACTCTGGTAAACCACCCCATTGTAATCGGGGAAAAGTACCTGGAGCGTAAATTTTTCAGGTTTGTTAAAGAGCGCGGCCAGTGGCGTGCTCGAGAGCCTCAACATGAACGTTCCGGCCGTGCGTCCCAAAACCCTAAAAAAACTTAAACGCGTCTACGACAATTCGACGAGCGACGATCTGAAGAGCGACAATGAAATCTCCTCCAGCTCGGAGAAGGAGTCAGATAACAAGGAGAATAGAGACAACAAAGGCGACCGAATGTCGGCCCTCAGTCCGTTCGATGAACAGGAAGAGTGGGCCAAAATCCAGGAAATTATGGCTTCTTTTGGCACGGGCATCGTCCGGGAATCGGTCTTTGTTGCCGAGCTGGAAAAAGAGTTCCAGAACCGACTAATGACCATTTCTTGTTCGCAAAATAGTTTGACTGATGCGGCCGAAATGACTGTGGAAAAGTGGCTGGAAGGCATTGGTTTAGTCGACTATGCTGACCGGTTTATATCTAACGGCTTTGACGATGTTGGCTTTTTGGTAAGTTTACTGTCTTTCCTAGCCAGCAAAATTCACATCAGTTACCGATTTCTTCGACGTGATTAGCACGGAAGAAGTCTTTCTTCTCTTCTGTAATATTGGAGTTTCCAGAATGGCGTTTTAGAAGAAAATGATCTTGTGGACATTGGCATAGCCAGCAAAGAGGACCGACTGTCCCTACTGGAGGCTGTTAAGCAGCTGCCCCTGAAAACCCACATTCAGACTCCCGGGGGCAGCAGCAGCGAGCAAAGCACCGTAAAGCTGTGGCTAAAGAGAATTCGCTTGGACCAGTACTTCGATACCTTCAACAAGCATCTGTACCACGACATGGACAGGATCAAGCGCATTTGGGACGTTGAGCTGTCCGCTGTGCTGGACATTGAGAAAATCGGACACCGGAAGCGCATCCTGGCGAGTGTGAGTAGCGGCGAAAGCATCGCTTCCGGTCCCAAAATGGAGGAGATCAGTCTGGAAGCTGCTTTGCTGGTAAAACTGCTGCTACTGCTGAAAACAAGCGTGATGGTACAAGGTTGCGATTTTCAGAAGCCTGTAAGTCAATCCAGCTCGGAAATGCCTTCGCCGTCCTCGCAAAGCAACCATTCGTCTTCGAGTGTCAACACCGGAACCATCCGGCATAGACATAAAAAGTCCAGGCCGGCGCCCCAGCCGCCCGGCCAGCAAAAGCCAGAAAAGCGAAACTCCGAGATGTTCGTGGGCGGCAGCAACTCCATTAAGAGTCAATGGCGGCACCAGCCCATGCTCCTCATCACCGGAACGGTGAAATACGCCGCCAATGTACGTATGGGTCGCAGTGGCGAAGCCGAAAAAGCCAAATGGTTTTAATTCTTGCAGTATTGGGGCTCAACTTCCATCAAGGAGTCCAAGGGCACCGAGTCAACGAAGAAGTCCATTCAAAAAGTCGCCAAGTCCAAGGACCACTTTTTGGAGGAGATTGTCCTCAGCATCTCCTATAAGGGAGTGAAGTTCATCAACCCTTCAAATCAGGTAAGAATGCAAAAAATCCTTCTGGATTGGGCCTTGAAAACGGGAAAATTCCTGTTCCAGAGCACCATTTGCGAGCATGAAATCGTCAACATGAACTGCGCGTGTCAGGACGACGAGCAGCAATCGTACTTTGCGTACATCACAAAGGACAACGATCTTCATTACTGCCACGTCTTCCAAGCGCCCACTCCCGTAAGTTGCAAATCTCTATTTAATTTGCTTGCTTCGCTTCCAGTCGTTTCATTTGGTGCTAACATTTGGCAGGATCACTAACATACAAAGACAAAGGAATTAGTACCAATACCGCGACAAAAATATACAAAGCGATCTGCAGACCCCTCTTGGACTACGGACATATACTCATGGCCGACGGAACAGAAAGGACAAAACGATACGTACAAACAACTGAACAAATTGCACTAAGACTAATAACACGAATAAGACTCCCCCAAAACCCCCTGCACAACCCTTCCAACCAACTACTATACGAACGCACAAACATGACMAAAATTTCGGAAAGACTAATACACTTACAGACAAAATGGACAAACAACCCTCACAACTGGACCATACTGAATCCCCTTTGCCTAACAAGACGGGCAAAACATTCCCGTTTTCGTACCCCAACAGATACTTTACTAGAACACCTACAAACGCAACTGAACTAACGACTAAGACCTGTTTGTTTTGTGGGGCAGGAATTTTTTTTTTTTTTTTGTCACTGATTGAATTATACCAGTGTTAGGAATAGGACTTAATTTTAGAATAAGCTAGGCTAAGACATATATGTACTACTCAAGGGCAGAAAGACCGATTGGGTC